CCAGAAACCAAAGTGCCTAGTTTCTCATGGTAATTTTGGTGTTCAGACATTCTAGAATGACTCATATGTCCCATGTACTTTTTGCAGTACACATAGCTCTCGGATGAAATCCGAAGTTTCCACATTTATTGTTTTAAAAAACGATTCTAAAAAATTCACTTAAACGTATTATTTTGAACGACCCAGGTCGAGCAATCCGACAGTAGGCACCTATCGGAACCCATCTGATCCGACTGAAATCCAATAGGATTTTATCGGATCCTGTCAGATCTTACAGAATTATCGTTGGATTCCGGGTCGAGAAATCGATGTCGGATCGTCAGCGTCGGATTCCTATGAATTCCAAGGAAAAACCGTTGTATGTCATCAGAAGTTCATACGATTCCGACACTGAGGATCCGACATCGACTCCTCGACCCGGAGTCCAGTAGAATTGTATCGGATTGTAGGATATTTCCAGGTTCCTATCGGATCCGATGTCGAATCAGTCAACCTGGGGAGTTTAAACTTGCTTTTAATAACGTATCCTTTACGTAGAAAACAGTATATTTCGGAAATACGTTGCAACGGTGGTTTTTAACGAAAGTAACTCTGTTAAATTACTTCAAAGTGTTAAATAAAAGAATATTAGCGTTTCAGGCGTTGCATTTCTTTTTTGAATCTTTAGAAGTAAAATTTAATTTGTATAAACTCGCTTTTCAAACAAAAATATATTGAAAAATAATGCATATACACTATTTGTTTATTTGTTTATTTTACTATACTTTGTTTAGATAATAGTTTAGTTTTCTTCTTCTTCTTCTCTCTCTCTCTCTTGTCAGCTTGAATATTTATATAGATACACTATCTAGAAGTTTTTGCCAGTATTTTATCTAGTGAAGGATCAAATAGAAAAGTCACTAAATACCTAGATTATACTGAAAATCACAATATTCATATAGTTGAAAATAAAAAATAAATAAAACTATCACTATTTATTATCAAAAAATATTAGAGAGGAAGCAATTTATATTCATAAAATTGATTTGATCCAAATAATAATTTTAAAAAATATTTTATTTTGAATGATTTTGAATTTCTTTTGAAAGTAACTTCTCATAATTTAGATTGATTTTATACTCAAATTAATGTAAATTGACATTAAAAAGAAATTGAAAAGAACATGCTGAACTCAGAAACTATTAAAATTAGCTCTAGATACATAATAACATTGACCCAGGAGAGTCATTCCGAGACTAGGATCCTATAGGATTCCGACAAGGGTCAGACCGTGAATATACCACATATCCATGAATTCCAATAAAACCAACGAAATCCTATAGGATTCCGGGATCAGGACCTACAGTCGGATCCTTGGTGTAGGAATTCCATAGGGTCCAGTGTTGGNTCAGGCCGGCATTCTGTCCAGAGCTACATTTAGTAATAGATGTAGGAAAAATATCGGGCTTCTCGAAACTGTCCTCGGACAGCACCCTACACCGAAAGGTAGCCGAAAGGCGGGGTATTCTTCTTCTGTTGGGTGATAGGATCCCATCAGAGCCGATAGGCTCCGTCATAGGATCCATTCACCTGGGGATATGAAAAAGGCAAGGAGATTATTTCGAAACGTAGGTGCCGAATAAAATACAAAATTTCTTCTTATATTCACTAAGTGTATAGACGTGTAATTACTGTAATGTTAACTGTAAGTGTGGCGCAACTCCATCAAGTAAGTCAATTAAAATGTTCAAAGTTCGAATCTATTCATCGTCACATAGTAAAATATTCTCAATGGTTTAAACGCCTTTATCGAAAAAGACAAGGTGTTACGACAGAGAAAAAATTGAATTTACAGAAAGCATTGTAGATTTGCTTTTTGCGTTTTTTATTGATAAAAAGACCGTTGAAACACGTTTTATAAAACCCGTAAATGTTCCAGCGAAATCATGTTTGGAAAAAAGAAGAACACGTTCAAATGAACTTTTTAAAAATTGTTTTTCGCGGGTAGAGTCATCTATATTTTGTCATCCTTAGATGTTTTTAAAGAGAAACATTTCATCCATTCGCCGCGTAAAATGCTCCTCGGAAGTGTAAATAACGAAACAAATAGTCTAGTGGTTATACATATAAACAAATTAAGGAACTACTTATTATTTTCGTAATTTGCTTTTGTAGATTTTGTCTGCTGATATTAGCAGTGTGTGGGGAAGTTGTTCTTAATGGAATCGATGATTCTTCATTAACAAAAGAAAAGATTATACAATTGATTAATAATCATGATGCAAGTTTAACGTTTGTTAAACCCAAAACATCATCATCTTGAACTTGGTTGACCTTTAGCTGTATTTACGTCGGCAATCGAAAGCAAATTTGAACTGAATAACACACTAGTAAGAATATGCTTTCTAATAGTTTCTTATATATATATATCATAAAAACAAACGCTGTGTTTACAATAATGAATCTAGTATTAATATTAGCACCTTTTATATTTTTCAGATATCAGTTTTTGTGGTATTGTTCTTTCTCATTTAAACGAAGAATTACAATTACATATTTTTGTTCTTGGTTGTTTTCCATATGATCGTGATAATCAAACTGCAAATCAAATTCGACAATTGTTGATTGTAAATTAATGGAATTCAATTTGTCCTTAGATAATAATAAATTTGTCGTATCCGATAATGAGAACAAGATGAAATCAGCTTTCAAGGACTTGTGTATTCGGATCGGATGTTCAATTCATTATGTTAATAAACAACTTGAACACTGTTTCACCACAGATATTGTTGATAAAGCTCCAGTTAAATGCGAAATCGTTCAGCAAATGTTCTTTCATGTACGAAAAATTGTATCTCATACCAGACGAACACGTAAACAAACAAAATTATCTCGTAAACTTCAATCATATTCTGATACCCGATTCAATGGTGCATTTTTAACAATGAATGTTTTCTTATTAGTGTTCGATGAATTACCTGGTGTTTTAGATAGAACTCTTATGAATGATTATGAATCAATAGATAAGGATTTACTTTAATATATTTGCTCATTCTTCAAACCATTTGAGGAAGTAATTGAACAATTGAGTTCAGATACAAGACCAACAATATATACAGTGTTGTCCTTCAAACAATATTTATTAAATCAATGTAAATTTCATCCTGATGATCATGATGGAATTCAACAGATCAAAACATTTTTAGGTATTATTTTAATCTAAATGATTCAGATGTTTTCTACACTTATTTACGAAATAGAGAATATACGGAACATTTAGGGGATCATTTTAGTGTAATAGGAGACGAATAAAATGAGTTTATAGTTTATACTAATTACTGAGTTATCTTATATTATAAAAAGATGTAAGTGCACGTTGACATACATCTTGTAATAAAGCTTCTATGGTTTTTTCTTAAAAAATTCGATGTTTTTGTTTAGAAAAACGCATTCAAGATGTTTGAACCTTGAACAATGTTCATTTTACTACTACATTAGTACACCCTTCATTCAAAAATTTTGATATCAGTCCTGATTTACATGCAAAAACTATTGATTTGACAAAGAAAGAACTATTGAAGCGTCATCCATCAGCATCACCTATCACTTGTACAACAAATATGAAATCACCGATGCCAGAAAATACGGTCAGTATACGGCCGTTTACGGTGAAAGAAAACGATATCTAAACGGACTGTATACGGTCATGATACTGGATGCAGGAATACGGCCGTATCATAATGACCCAGGTCTAACAGTACGGTCCATATACTGTCGTTTACTGTTACTTTACGACTATTTTACGGGTGAAAGTTTGTCGTAATATCTGGCGCAGTCATACGGACCGTATGATCATGAAAGTACGGAGCACAAACAGTCGTAAATCATGAAAATTCAGTCCTGTTTACGGTGCCGTATTACTGTGCCAGGTATTACGGGCAAATACGGCTTATTTACTGCCGTAAATATACCGTTTTGACATCGTTTATCATCGATAAACAGACAGTCAACGAGTCCGTTTTGGTCAATCTGGGGAGAATTCGGCGTATATACGACCGTTTACGGCGAAAATACGGTATCGTTTACAGTACCGTATTACTGCATTTAGTACTACGGGAAAATACGGACAGTGTACTCCCGTAAAGATGTCGTTTTCCTACCGTTTACTCTCAGAAAACGGACCATAAACGATATCCGTTTTGATCGATCTGGGCGCATGTCCGTTCAGTTGAACTTGGTTTTCAATCTACAAATTCGAAAAGTCTTCTTTCACAATGTCTTGATGTATCAAAAAATGACTTGAAATCATCGATAATACCTTATGGTGAATTAGAAGAATATATGGCGCTCAATCTTAAATTAAATGAAAACGATGATGTTTTGTTATTTTGGTTACAACATAAATTGAAATTTCCAACGCTACTTACTATGGTACAAGATTTTTATGCTATGCCGGCATCGAATGCAATCATTGAGCGATTGTTTTCATCATCAAAGAATACAGTTACGGATAAACGTAGTAGTCTTGGAGCAGAAAAAGTAAACAAGTTACTATTCTTACAGAAAAATTTGAGTTTATTGAACGTTAGGGAAGTTAGCTCAAGATTCGAGTTTTTCCAGCCCCGATTCGCGTATATGATTGTGTTGATTTTTATTTTTGTTGCGTTTGATGCAAAATTTTGCGCTGAATCGAATGGTGTAATTTTTGGAGGGGGTACCAATTAAAATCCGGTACTTTAGCCGAAAATACTACTTTTTTTTGAAAATATTGTGAAAGTAATTTTAGCCCGGATTCGTTGCTTTAACTGTGTTGGATCTGAAAATGGTTGTGTTGAATTCGGAATGCAATTCTACATCGAATGATGCTAAATTTTTATGGGGTCATCGACCAAAATTTTTCGACTTGCGTGTTGGTAGGATAGAGGCACGGAGCGATGACTTGGGTAAGGCCAGAAATGTTTTGGCCGATGGCCCCATAAAAATTTAGCATAATTCGATGTAGAATTGCATTCCGAATTCAACACAACCATTTTCAGATCCAGCACAGTTAAAGCAGCGAATCCGGGCTAAAATTACTTTCACAATATTTTCAAAAAAAAGTAGTCTTTTCGGCTAAAGTCCCAGGTTTTAATTGGTACCCCCTCCAAAAATTACACCATTCGATTCAGCGCAAAATTCTGTATCCAACACAACAAAAATAAAAATCAACACAATCATATACGCGAATCGGGTCTGGAAAAACTCGAATCTTGAGCTAACTTCCCTAACGTGTTTATTGAAAGAAATTTCTAAACCACCAGTAGTTAACGAAGCTGCTTCAACTGAAACGAAACGAAAGATGAACTTTGAGTCATCTTCAGTATGCCATGTGATGATCAAGAACAATTAGGAACTACAACAGTAAAAAAGAAGCCAAAGGTGGACGAAGAAAATGATATTCTTTGTTCAGAAGATGATAAAGAAAATGATGAAGTAGATTGTTTTTAGAACTTATTTAGTTTGATATTAATTCCAGATGAGCATTCGATATTATATGGATAGTTTTATATTATTTTTTCTTTTTCTTGTATTCTTTGAAGAAATTGTTTTTGAATAAAAATTGACATGAACAATAAATAAAAACGATATACAAGAATTTCTCAAAAAAATATATACTAATTTTTACTCAATGCGTCATCAGAACAACGGTTCCGAACCACAAAACCGGATGCGGATTCGGAACCGTTTTATCTCAACTTTGATAACCGGAACCGGACTCAGACACGTGGTTCCGGATCCGGGTAATTTTTGGAACCGCAGGATTCTACTTAAATCACAGCATAAGTAAAGTCAAATCGATTTATTATGTAATTAATTGATACTTTTCCAAGTAAATTCATATTTTATTTGACTTGCTCAACTTTCAAATCCAGAAATTCTATGTTTAACATGTTTTCATCTGTTTTCCTTCACATGCACTAATTTTTTAATTGTTAGATTTTTCGAATACTATCATCTACTAGTATTGCTGCCATTTCATAATGAATGTTATTCTTTAGATATAGATCACACAACACTCCGATTGTTAGTGTTATGGCAAAATCAGTGAAATATGGATACTAACAGCGTGTATCTCATATCCTCAGAAAGCCATATATGTCAAACTTGAAGCTTGAATTCAATTGAAAATTGAAAATTTCAACTTTTATGCCAATAGCATTTTGAAGAATCATGACTCACACATATATCGCTATGAGTTGAAAGTTGAAAGTTGAAATTTTCTATTTTCAACTGAATTCAAGTATCAAGTTTGGCACAACTGCACAAAACATAAGTATTGTATAATAAGAATACATTTTTCAAAACAATTTTAGCTTAATTATTGAATACTTGTATAAATATGTGCAGAGAAGAGACAAATATTTGTTGATATAAATATGAAATTTTTTTTTCAATACCTGATCTCAATATTTTAATTGAACGAAGTTCAATAACATGAATTAAATTCGCATCGCATTAATAATTCAATAATAACAGAAATTATTTTTTTGCGCAATTTCGATTGCTTCACGCGAAACGACAATATTTTATTGTTTAATGATTTCAATCAATTTCTCCATTATGCATATTATTACATATAATCACAATTTTAATAAAGAAAACGCGTATTGATATCCTTCGAATTACCATAGATATGTAATACTATGCAAACATTTTTGAATCTATTTAAGAGACAATGTCAAATATATTTTCGTTTGAAATATATATCAACAAAGTAGCTGACTGTTCGAGGCATTTCTTCAAAAAATGAATTAATGTTCCTCCCAAAGTCTTTGTTTCTATCAATATTAGATCAAAAACTTTTTCAAAGAATGAAAAATATGTAAAATTTCTTTTAGTAAATATCTTGTGAAGTATTTCTTTCCAATAAAATTTGTCGTCAAGTGTAATTTACATAGTATATTGCATGATAATTTTTTCTCGTAAAGAGCACAATAGAAAAATTGTATAAAAATTGATTCTTAGTAAGTTACATAGAATGCGACTCATCGAAGTAGCTAAAATAATTATTTATCTATCATGGTAAATTCCTTCTGGATAAACAAGGAATAGAGATAATAAAGTATCATACGTCCTTTATTCTAACTGTACAAAATAAATTTAGGAAAACGAACAACGAAGAACCGAATGATGAATTTCTCTCTATTTAAATGTTAACTTTCAAGTTCTTTGAAAATAAGGAAAAACATATTTCATTTATTATTACAGAACTTATAAATAGCTTGTGTAAGACAAGTAAGCATAATCAAGTTGAATGATTTTTATCTTCTATAGACAATACAAATGGGAAATGCCATCCGTTTCATCAACGATGATATTAAATCGAAGAAACTAAGCTGTTTCTTCTTCATGAACAAATTATATTCGGTTAGATCTTTAGCTGGCGCTTGTCGTTGTCAGTTGGGATGACAAATTAGATGCTTTTGTAAAGAGAAGAAAATCGAGAGAAAAAAGAAGAGAAATGATAAAACTAGACAACGACAACAACATAATTCTCAATTTCTTCTCATTTTCTATGTACGATGTTGATTAGCGATTTTCTCTTTTTTTCATGTATATTAAGCAAAACGTAAAGATCAAAGGGTTTCTTTTAGTAAGAAAACAGGTTTGTCTTTTAGCAGTAGATTTATATATATATATTTGCGTGAGTATTTGTGTATGTGTGCATATAAAAAGAAATTTTAATAGACGACATTGTATCTTATATATGGCTTTAGGGTATTTGAATGATCACGATTCATCTATATATGTAGTGTAGAGAAAAAAAATCTTCCACATAATTTCATCTGCATTTATTTTATTCCGTATTTTCGCATTACTATAGCATAGAAAAAATGGCAGCTTATGCTCATCAGCAACTATTACTTGACTAGAGTCTTTTGATCGAGTGTCTGATGTGAGATAAAAAAAAATGTTTCTAGCAAAAACAAAATCCAACCGTAAATAATGGAATATAAATAAAGTAAGGTAGGTTCTATCGTCTATTTTTCAGAATGATATGAACTATGCTATTCTAAGCATGAAAATATACATTAACAAGAGTAAAAAGAAAATGATAGCTTTAGGAATAGATTGCAATCAATGTTTGCTGATGTTTTGTTTAGAGATAAAAAAAATACTTTTCTCTTGTTCCGTTTATCAAAATAAAATGCTCGTCGATTCGTCATTAACATGGTACGACAAGCATCATCTATTGTTTTTATTCTTTTAACAATTTTATATACACTTTTCAATCAAGCTAATTGTAAATCCGGTGGTGGCCATTATTCTTCACAACGTTCGCTTAGTTCTGTATCTTCTAGCGGATATGGTTATTCTCCTGGAAATCAACAGAATTCCATAAGTAATTCATGGTTTCCTCAGGATATGAATTCATGGTATGATTACGGTAAGCATCTGTCACTATTCATTCGTATTATAATAGAATATATCTGTATTATTACTCACGATTACCTAAGAAAACCGAGTGAAAGAGAAAGCATATCAATGTAGTAGAGTAATTTCTTTTTTTCTAAAGACTATCGTTTAAAGAGTAGTTAGGTTCGATCGATTATTATCTTACCAGGATATGGTCGTTATTTTTTTTATCGTATGATGTTTCTCATGAGAACCATTAGCAAGTAGTTTCTAACAATAATTGATATGATTTTTCTTGTATTGGTTTGCTTTTCAAACAAGCAAAGGAAAAAGCTTTGTTCTCTCTATTTTTTCTTTGCGTCTTCCTTCATCGTTTTTTGTTTCTCTCATTCTACAAGAGCAAAAATATCTATTTCCTTCCTACATTAATAATGTCAATAAGGAACAAATGAGTGACTAGTGTATTACATAGAATACCATGTTAATATTCGTTGTAGTTTTTATCTCAATAAATTTTTCCGAGTTGGCATGCCAACTTGTTTTCACCAGTTTAAAAATACCTCATAAAGATAATTCAATGCCTTCTTCTTCAAATTCCCAACAACACTCACAATCTATGATAAATTATTATAATCATCCATATTATCATATAGCTCTCAATGATTCGGATTCAATTCCTGATGAACAACGTTTAATGGCACAACTATTAAGAAATTACGATCCATCAGCAAGACCTGTATATAATGCATCAAATACAGTCAACGTTGCTTTTGGTATTGCTTTGGCTCAACTAAGCGATATGGTATGTGATCATGAAACACACGCACTGATCAATAAACCGATCAGTTGGAACTTGACGAATCTATTCAAAGATTATGCAAATAAAATCTTGAGAAGAAGAATATATTCATTTAAGATGACAAAAAATGGAGTTTGTTTTTTGTATTAAAGAGACGGAAAAAAAGCAAAGAATCTTTGCATTAGATACTATTGTGATGATAAATTGACTACCTTTTCTCATATGAAATCTAATCCTGTCTATAGTCAATTAGATGTCATTCTACTTGGGACGATTTCATAGAATAAATTAGAGAAAAAACAAATATGAATAAATAATCAGATTACTAAGTAGAATTTCATATTGAATAAATAATTAATATTTCCATTTAAGGATGAAAAAAATCAAGTATTAACTACAAATATATGGCTTGAACAGGTTAGCTCAAATTTCTCTAGAAATTAAATTTCTTTTGTTTTTGGAATGGGAAATATAGGAATGGTATGATGAGCGGTTAATATGGAATGCATCAGATTTTAATGGCTTAACAACGCTTCGGTTACCATGTTCAAAAATTTGGTTACCCGATATTGTTTTATATAATTCAGCTGATGATTATACACAAGGTTATTATCAAAGTAAAGCCATGGTTGATAATAATGGACATGTTTTTTGGCCGCCACCAGCTAAATTTCGATCATCATGCAAAATTGATGTAACTTTTTTTCCATTTGATGGTAAAATTCTTTTTATTTAAATAGAAAAGTTTTATTTTTTTTTCGTTATAATTTTTCCTATTACAAAGATCAATTGTGCAAATTAAAATTTGGTTCATGGACATATGATGCAGCTCAAGTTAATTTAACTAAACGACGTGATCAGGTAGATATGACAAATTATATACGTTCAGGTGAATGGCATATTGTGCGTATTGAAATCAAACGTAACGACGTTACTTATCCATGTTGTCCAGAAATTTACTATCCTGATGTTACAATTTATGGTTAGTTTAAATGTTTTGTTCGTTCGAAGAAAACAAAATACATATACATATATAATTACATTTAATTATCTAATTTAGTTCACATCCGTCGACGTGTATTATATTATTTATTTAATATTATATTTCCTTGTATATGGCTTTCAATTCTTTCATTACTTGGCTTTTGGCTTCCACCAGATTCTGGAGAAAAAATTACGCTTGGTATCACTGTACTTCTTGCTTTCTCTGTTTTCATGTTATTAATTGCTGAATCAATGCCTGCAACAAGTGAAATGGTTCCACTTATAGAGATCTATTTAACTATTGTTATGGCACTTACATCATTATCCATTGTGCTTACTGTTTACGTACTTCAATTACATCATTCGGGTCCTGTTGTTATTCCTATTCCACATGCATTTAAATATTCATTAATTAGATATATAGCACCTGCGATTGGAATGCGAAGCACCATTCAGATTTATGCACAAGAACATAATTTAGTTGAAACAGATGAAGTTTATCGATGTTTCGCTAAATCAAAAACAAGACCACCCATAGAAAGTCCATTAATTAAAAACAAAAATAAATTTATTTCCGCTCAAAAAAATAATATCAAATATCGTAAAAGTACGTACAATTCCTTTTCATGAATTAGAACTACTCAGAGCCAAGCAAAAACAATAGAATCTGTAATAGTTTTTCTAGTACTTGCGAAGATAGAACTCTCTCTCTCTCTCTCTCTCTCTCTCTCTCTCTGTTTATATATATATATATATATATTGATTGTTAGTTCAAGCAGTACTCTTTAGTTCTATAGTATTTCACCTGTATTCAATTTACATGTTAATAATAGAAAAATTGATCATATTTTTCCATTTTGTATTTCGATGGAAGAATGAACTATTTCTTGTTAAAGACAAACAGATTTTACCTAACAGAGAAGTTGATGAATTGTATAAATGACTTTGCTAGGGAAGAGTAAAGATTTAAGATGAAAAAGTACTACCCGACAGATCAATAACAAAGAAAAATCTCGATAGATCAAGCAGATTCATGACTCAATTTGTGATGATTATTGTATTCTTATTGATGACTTATAATGGGAAAACGGATATAAAGTAAAATGTCATTCAATGAACGACCTCCAACCGTCGTAGATATCGAGAAAATCGATTAATAATTGAGATATATCAAAACAGTGAACCCAGAAAATGATCATGAAGCATATGTTCTCAATAGCAGATCTTCTAATTTAGTCTTTAACAAGTCACTCATATAATCTTTTAACTGTAATCAGAGACGAATTGTGCTCGCTAAAAGTAATCTAACACTCATCATGAATAATTCTTGTTCTTATGCATAGTGCCCTAAGAAGTTTAATTTAGTCACTTTTAAGGTAAAAACGGAAGTTTTACATTTATATACAAATCTAAAAGAGAGAACTCTTTCAGCAGTTTTCAGAAGTTATCTGTCTGACGCTTTTCTATAAATTCAATTATGTCCGTTATTATCCAATCCCATAATTATTATCAATGGTTGTTATCGAGCTGAGTAATAGAACTTATTTAGAGTTATGATCTTTATTACAATCAAGTTATATTATAAACTACAAGTAGATAAATCTGCTAGTTTAGACAGATTTCAGTTGCCGTTATTTTTGTTTTGTATTAGCTCTTTCCTTTATAATCTATTCGTTTCCGAATCTTTTTTTTTCTAACTCTCATATTAGCTCTCTGTTAATATTATGAAGAAAGAAATAGATAAATAACGAGAAAAACTTACCTATCTAATTCAAAAGGATATACTTGCAGTAAAACCGTATATGATTCTCAAATTAGTATTAAGTATTAGCAGGATAGATGAATACAATAAAAGTTCAACGTATACGAAGTTACTCTCGAAAAACTTATAATTGAAAAATATCTTATTATATTTTTTGAACGGAACAGATAGCTAGTCGTTTTCCTCTTTGACTTAATAAAACCAAAATAAATTGACTATTTAAATGTGTATAAACCTTTTTTCCAGGCAGTTCCTATCAAAAAGAAGTTCAACTTTATGATAATAATAGTGGTGATGATGAAGATGATGATGATAAAAAAATAATGAAAGAATTTTTAGCAAGCTCACCCACCTGTAATGGTGATATTCATACAATACCACCATCTAATAAACGATCTAATAATCAACATCATCATCGTTCTCGTTCACGTGTTCCTCAAATAGTTCTTATACCTCAGCAATCTCATCCGTTATCATCATCACCATCTCCAAGAAACGTTCATAATCATTCGCAATATGAATATTTTAATTCTAATATGTCTCTACTTGAAAAACATTTAAAACATTTGATTGATAAACAGAAGCATGAAGAAGACAGAAATGAAATAATCAACGAATGGAAATTGATGGCACTTATTATGGATAGATTATTATTTTGGCTTTTTGCAAGTTTAACTATTTTGAGTACACTTTTATGTTTAATTATAATCCCGTTCTTAAAAAACGCTGGATATATACCAGCATTGGCAAACGATTTAATTATGGATTATAAACCAACATCAGAGGCAGCAAGAAATGTGATTGAAGAACAAATAAAAACTAATCTCACTGGAACATCAACATAATAAAACTAATTTTGTTAGTTACCTATTTCAAAGAAGACAGTTAATTTATTTTATTTTAGCTGGCTACATGACCAGTGAATGAGGCTGCTTTGCTTACCTGTTCTAATATTTTTTAATTTCATTTTTTTTTCAATAATTTTTTCTTTTGTTTGCTTGACACTTAATGTAATTAATTAGATTTTTCTATAATTTTTCTTTCGCTTCAATCATAATGGGTCAAGTCAGTGTCATTGATTTGTTTAAATAAAATGAATCTATTTCTTACTCTAAATGTTTAGACGAGCAAATCAGTTAGAGTCTAACAATTCACAACAGAAGAATCCATTTAGAGCCAGATACATTACTCACATAGTATACTATGTGAATTTTCTTTTCTTTTTAATTGTAGACAAAGTAATAAGGTATAATATGTTGTTGAAGAAAAAATTTAGATTATAAAGAAAAAATTTAGATTATAAAGAAAACATGCAAAGCTGTTTTGAAAATAAACAATTAAACTTTCAGTTATCCACCGCTGAAGATCTTAGCTGTTAATTGTGTCGTAATCTGACTAGGTAACGTCCAAACTCCAATTAGAAGACAAATGAGAACAATAAAAATAACAATGGTAAGAATAAGCGTCCATTTATAATTTCGCCAAAGAACATAACGTAGTACTTTCAAAGGAGAAGTAAACCAGAGAAATGATGTTTTTGGACGACTAAAATAAATTGACTTTATTTCATAAAGTTAAACATTAAAACAAACTTTGGTTCGTCTAGTGGTTGTGGTGCTTCACGTGCTTTTCCAACTGGATTCTTTTCTGCTTCTTCAGCAGTAAGAAGCGAAAACTCAGCCTCTAATTTTCCCTGTCAAAAAAATAAAATAAATATTTATTTTATTTTTAAATGATCTATTTTTAGCTTACACCTAATAAATTTTTATCACGAATTTCGCCTGCTTTCAACGGAGCAATCATGGGCCACCAACCTAAATATTCGAAATAGAATCGAATATATATTCAATCGAAGGACAATAAATTTGTATACCAGCAATACGTTTACTTGCAAATAAATTAATTCCTTTATGTTTTGGATCCAGGAGAATATTAGCGTTACATTTTTTTGATGTTTTAGCACCGTATTTAAAAGATTTAAGATTAAGAATACATTCCGCTAAAAGAATTTCAATTCGTTTAAATATAAATAAAAATTTGAACGAACCAAGAAAATCATCAGCAAAGAAAAAGTCTGCATCATAAATACGAATAATAATTCTTGGTGGAATTTTCTTGAGTGTATTACCAACTTGAAATAAAGAATCTTTTGCTTCAAAAACAACTTTTTCTTCTATATCTAAAAACTGAAAATCGAACACGAATCGCCAATTGAAATTTCCTTCGCCTGCTAATGATCTAGGATGACAGAGAAAACATCATATTTCGTTATCTTTAATGAATGAAACGAACCGATAATGAATATCAGTTTGTTGCGCATCAACTTTTTCTCCTATTATCCATGCTTTAACATAAATATCTGATGACTGTTCTCCTGTCAGAAAATTTTCATCATTCAATTCTACATCAGATGTATTCCAGACAGTTAAACGTAATTGATAGCTTGTAGGTTTTGGTGGTGTAATATCAGTCATACCACTAGAAGGTGGTCGTGACATTGGAAAAAAATCTAACCACATTTCTAACTTTCCTTGTTCAGTATCAGGAAATGCTGGATTGAAAAGTGATCGACATTCAATATGTTCAGTAACCAAAGCATGTTTCTATATAGAAATTAAAATAACCAAAGAAATGAAAACAGTAAAAAGAGATATTTTCTTACTGGATTAATTGTTTTTCCCCACTTATTTAGTGCCGTTAATGCTGTGTTTTCTTTTTTATAATCATCGGGCGATTCATGATGAGCTTTTCGATGAATTGTGTCTCCAGCAGTTGTTGCGTACTTTATAAATTCAATGTATTCAGGATCACATTCAAAAACTTCATCACCAATTTTTAATGACTGAAAATCTGGCGCGTATACAGGTGAGTCGATATCTACGGTTCGACATAACTCTTCTAAAATTTGTGTTGGTTTTTTTGTATCACGCCATACATTATAACCCACACTAAATATTAAAAAAAGATCAAAAACTTATCATATAAATTTCAATTGTTCAATTAACCTGTCATATCGTTTTGGTAAACCACAAGTTGCTCGATGGCATGAAAACCAACGATTTTCAATATCAATTTTTGTTTCAGCAATCAAATCATTAGAACTTGTCATATCCCAATCCCATAGTTGTATACGTATTAAATTTTGAAATGGTAATTGAACATCAAACTCAAATGATCTATTTCAAATATAAATTAAAAAGAATTAACTCAAACCGTTCTGTTTTTCTTTATTTTATTCAATACTTACTTGCCGAATACTGGCTCTAATGTATTTTGTAGTTTTCCTTCCGTGTCATCAATTATAGTAGTATTGTTTAATGCAATTTTTATAAATGGATCTGCTTTGCCTGACTGATCCCAGCCACGATATAACACAGCTTTTATCAAATATAATCGACATTTTAGTGTTATGGGATTTTTATTATAATCAAATTGAAGCATTTGATCTTGTGTTTTAGCAAGTGCATCCATGCTTAATTGTCTTCCTGTGCTCAATTGAGGATTTAAAATAGATGGACTAACTGACATTCGAGGAATATTTTTGATTTCATCAGTTGAAAGTTCTCGAACAGAAGTTTGTTCTTGAATTTGTCTAATACAGAATTTACCCTAAATAAAAATTAGTTTTATGAAGAAAAGCTGAACTTAAATGTTGAATTGAATGTAAAACTGAATATTTATAAAAATGACTAGATGTAAAAAAATTAAATAATAAAAATATCTACTTATATTAATATTATAAATGAGATGTGCATTTCGTGATCACTGATATGTTTTACTAGTAAAATTTGTTAATCTTATTGAATGAAAACAATCATCAATGAGTTATTAATTATCATGAGGGAAGAATAATTATATAAAATAATGAAAGTTCAATTGAAACTATAAATTGATCAATATTGATTTCAATATTGCGATCAAATAAACCATTAAAACAATTTTTATGATTCGAATCGAATTGTCAGAATAGATTCTTTCAAATGAGTGAATTTGTTTTAAGTGTTTCACAGATTCGAAGTACGTAGAATTGAATTTGCCAACGTTTACCTGTGACTACTAGAATAATTTCGATAGTTTTACAGTTATATATATAATCTATTGTCGTAAGTATAAACTTAATTTCTTTATCTCTGTTATCAATTAACAAATTTTCTTTATAATTACAATGTATTCTATTGATAGAGTATGTCTCTAGAAGTAATTTCTTTGACTATCGAAACTGATAATATCGGTTTATATTGATCACAAAACTCCAATTTATATTATACTACTGAAAAACAAAGAATATTTTGTTTAACAACAACCTATTTCTGTCTAGTATACCTATATAGCAAAATTAAATGTAGCATTTATTATTTTTCATGACGAAGAAAAGCTTCAAAAATGATTACTTATTTTTTTTGCTCATCATAATTTGAATGCTGTAACAAAGATCTTACATATTAAATATAATAGGACTGTCTAGAATATATCAATGAAATAAATATTCAACAAACATGTATGATCCGACAAGCATTATAAATACAATATTTTCTACAATACAAAGTAGTCATTTGAATGAATTGCTTTGACAAAGAATTTTTCTTCTTTCATAGTATATTTTCAAGAAAAATAAATATCATAGAATACTCACTTTGAATTTCGCATATATACGGTTTTCAGCGCCAACTTCATCGGATCGACTTGAACCTTTGCCTTTATATCTAAATAACCGAATTAACTGTCTAAGATAAAACTATTCACAAAAACAAAACCTTACAGAGGAAATGATTCAATACAATCAATGAAACCTTCATAATCATAAACATTTTCTAATTCTGTTTCAATAATCTAATATCAATAAAAAAAATTCAAAGATCATTTAAAAAAAATCTATGATTCGTTTCTCTTACATCAAAGGTTTGAAATAATGTTAATTCTTTAAGACGATCAGTTTCAATAGCATCAAAAATTTCGTCAAAAATTGAATTAAACTAAAATATTGAATCACAGAAAAATTGTTGCTAAAACAAGGATTTCAATTCTACTTTATTTGAATCTGTCAACTTTTCTATTTCCTGGACAGCCAACTCGCGTAATAATTTGTGAGCTCTGACAGGATTTCGAAGTAAGATTTTAAATTTACTCCATAAATTCGAACGATTTTTGGCAACAGTGGCTACAAAACAAAATCCCGTTCTCTACAAATGTAAGAAAGAAGTTTTCAACAAACTTGATTGCTCTTCAAAAAGATTAGCATAGGCATCGACGTTATCGAACACATTTTCATCGTTTTCTGAAGTGTCTTGCTGCATTAACTTCTATTAAATACAAAAAAAAGCAGAATCTCAATATCAAAGAAAACAAATAACTATTTAATTCCATACCAGTTTTGCTTTTGATGCATAATATTTATGCCACCATCCAGCTGCTTTTTCCATATCATTTCGTTTTTTTCGCTCTAACGCCATCGATGATTCACTTATATGAGCTTCACTACTAGGTGGTTGTGCTGAATCCGATTCTTTTGAATCATCATTTTTGTTATTTGATTTTTCACCAGGTTCATCATTTGCCTTATTTTTATTTCAAGAGAATAGTTATCAATATGAAAAGCAATTTTCTACAATAATAATTACTCCTTTTCCTTGCCTTGAAGAGTCTGCATTGGTGATAGCTATTTGATTACCACGAGCTGTTTCCCTTTCAAATTCAAGTAATTTTCTCTTTCCTAAATCATCATCTCCTGCAGCTTGGACAGCTAAAATGAGATTGATAATTGTAATATACATTTACAAATAAAAATGTAAATAGACCTTCATACGCATCGATAACTGATCTCCGAACACGATTAAAATCGTACGAAATTCTTTTTGATAACTCATTCACAGCCGCAGCCATGTCTTGGTCAATTTTCAGTAAGGAATGAGCAGGTTTACGAACATATTTCTGTAAATTAGTTACAACTAGATTTCCGACTACTTCTTTCATTCCAAAAAGACGAGTTTGCACACAAAGAATACTTAAATGAGGCCAAAAATTGTCATCATCAGGTAAATTCTAAAAAAATAAAACAACGATTTTTCAAAATAGAGAATAATTAAGTTTGTCTTGTTGTTTTTCATACGACAAGAAGAACATATTTGTTTGCTTCTTTAGTTGTTGATTCAAAATTTGGATATTTTTGCACATTTTTTATAGATTTTGTTACGCGTGCACCAGCACATTCAATGGTCACTTCTGCTTGTTGAATAGGTTGAAGATTAATGGTACGAAACTCACGTAAACCCCAAAACATAATCTATTCAAGCAAAACTTGTTATTTTTTTCTTTCATCAAAAGTATTAAAAATTACCTCAATTTCATATGTTTTCAAATCGGGTATCAGTAAAATTGGAATTTGATAAATTTTATTTTTTACCTGCGAAGTAACGAAATTCAACAGCGGATAACCTTCTGTTGTTATTTCAATTTCTTCAAGTTTACATGTTGTATCAGCTTGTCTTGTATGCTATTAGAAAAGTGAAAAAGAATCCAAAATATTTCAATGAAACTTCCTTGTAATTTAATTTACCGGATTAACTTGAACAAGTTCAAACACAGCTAGAAGTTCTCCAGCTTGCTCATCACCGATTTTAAACGGATACCATTTAAATAAAGATTGCTGCGCCCCAGCTTTTTCGTCAAATAAATCAAGTTTAGCTGTTGTAGAAAAACGTCCAATTAATTCTGGACCATTACCACCCTAAAATAATTTAATAACGATTTGAATACTAATCATTCCTGTCTATTTATAAATATTAAAGTGCTCTCGTTTTTCAATCGTTCACATCCAATACTTTACAGCGAATTTAATCAAATATTCTTTGTATTATAAGATCGATCAATATTCTGTTCGTTTCATTGGAAAAGAAATACAAAACTAAGTTTATCAAAATGGATACGAATAATAAAACAGTATATATATATATATATATATATATATCATGATGATATATAATCCTAAATAAAATGCTTGTATTTCTCTGAGAATATAATTATTCTCAATGTGCGATTGAAGTTCTCATATCATAGTCTCAAGTCAAATTCAAAACATCGAAATAACTCCTTAACATATTGATTGTTTTTATCTGAACGTATCCGACTGTTTGCTTTTTCAATATTATCACAAAACAAAAAGTTAACCGAAACAGGTAGTTACATCAGTGACTTTGAGATTTTTCCTGTTAGATTCTTTGCCTTGACGTATGCTCCATTTATTCAGACTAGAAGTATTGAGCTTTTATTTTTTCGTGCCTCAATATTTGATTTTCTATATGAAATTAACTAGAAAACAATGGAGGGTACTACAGAATAGATATTACGTCCTATGCTTCTTAAAATTCTACAACTTAATGCAATAATCTAAAATGATCTTCATATGATTTTGTTTAGTAGTTCCATTGTTAACCGATACTAAAAAAGTATATAAGTTGGTGTCAAATTAGTAGATGATTCAGAATTTCAGTATTTATTTTAATATCTAATATATCTGATTGAAGTTGAAACTATAAAAAAAAATCTTGGACATAGTTAGTATCCCATTGTTGCCTTTTTAAGAAATATAAGCTCATCAATACTATATCAAGTTAAATTATGAACTTCCTTATCAGTATCTTAATAAATTTCACTACTTTTTCTTCAATAAATTCTAGTAACTATTAATGACAGCAGTGGTCATATTTATATCACATTTTTTTCTTACAGGAAAATCATTCATCTATTTATATTGCAATTATCATACTAAATATATTTAGCAATTTTATAATCTATACAAGTAATGAACTGAAAAAATACTTTTAGCATAAGATCTTAATGATTAATAAATGAAAGTAAAGAAATCAATTTGAAAAATACTCAAGCATATTGTCAATAGTCTTGATAGATTTTTTTCTAGTTTTCAAGATATCTGCGTACTTCATCATAATCGTAACATTCAACAACAACATTTCCAACTATTTCCTCAGCTGTTTCTCGAGTTCCAACATGTATCAAGTTTTGGAAGGCCAATGTTATATTCCACTGTGGACACAATGATTGCTTTAGAACCTATGTAAAGAAAAAATTTACAAAACAGAAACTAATAATATATCACATAAAACTTGTATCACTCACTGGCGTTGTTTGTGTTTCATTGCCAACGGTAATACTTAAAAACGGATCAGACAAGCCTGTTGCATCAGCAGCAAGTAATGCTCTTGCTTTATAACAATGACATCGTAATTCAAAAAATGTTCGTCCTAAAATATAGTAATTTCTTATGTTATTTTATTCAACGTTCTATTTATTTTAAACCATTATATCTTATATTTTTCAGATTAGGTTGCAATGGTAAAGGTGGCATATCGAAACCGGCTGGCATTTGTTTAAATATATATCGTTCATATTCTTCAATGCCGAGCCAAAGATAAATTTGTACTTTCGCATTTGTTGATGATTTCAATGGTTGATTTGTTGAGCGTGGTGTCTGAAAAGAAATTAATACTCAGTTCTTTTTCAAAAAGTAAAAAGTAAGAATGCTAGCAAACTTTGAGAAAAATCGTTTGCACACGACCATTGTATAATCCTTTTTCACCCTGACATAAATTAAAAAAAAGGTCTTCAGGTGAAAGACGTGCATATGCTACTCGTTTCGAATCAGATATCATCCATAAAAATACATCAGGTAAAGCTGGTTGTGCCTTTCAAAAGAGAAAACAAAATGGAATTGATTTTTGTTGATAAATTATATTTACATCAACAGCCATTCTTTCAAATACACGAGCAATTTTATTTAACTCTTTGATAGTTTCATATCGATTCGGTCCAGCAAAATCAGCTCCTTTGGAAATCCAGGATTTAATTGATTCTAGATAGTGAAGAAGTTTTTTACGCCGGTTAATGTCTAGATTGTTCAATTTAGCAGTTGTAGAAGTACAGTTTAATAGTTCCGATAAAGTAGCATGAACTACAGGTATAGTGCCCAATGCTTGAGGATTGCCGCTTGATTCACCACATCCACATGGCGATGCATGAACATATTGTTCGATTTTTCGATATTCTTCCTTGAGAGTTTCATGTGAAACTTTCGAATTCATTTTCAATTCCAAATCACGAATTCGTTCGGACTAAAATTTAAAAAACGACATTTTTTTTAAAATTATCTTCTTGAAAATAAATACCAAATGTTGCGATATACGTTTTAGACGATTTGATAATGCTATACGATAGATATAATCATGAAATGTATATTTTGTAAATAGTATCGGCTTTTGTAAATCAATTGGTAAACGAAAATGATCTTTATTATTATCAAGTGGAATGCGTGGATATACCCGTGTCAACGATGAAACAGGCTTATGAAAAGCAGCAGCTAATTCATTCGGATTTAAATATCCACTTGAACCAATACTTAATTCAAAGCAAATTGATGAATTGCCGAATGCTTTATCAATCATGGTGACATCATAAATACAACCGAAGAGAATAAATGTACGTTTCATTGGAAATATATGCTATGAAAAGAAAAAGATCTTATTGAAATCATATCAAACTGAGCAAATAAGAAAACATTTCAAGAATATTTACTGCTTCAGGAAATTGTATACCAGTTTCTTTTTGTACACTCATGTTTGCAGTATTTTCCGAATTTACAGGATGACAATCAATAGACATGAGTATTCGTCCTTTATAACAAATAGATTCACCCACTCCTTCGCTCAGACCATCCTGTTCTTTACTTATTGTGTATTCTCTTAGACTTCCATATAAAAACATCCATGTTGGGCCTAATGTTGGTAAGAAGCCAATGGATGGATTACTTTCACTTATTAAAAACAGATCGATAAAAAATGATGAAATTATACGATCTCGTTGCATAGCTGCACTATCTTTAAGAGTTACTTTCATTGTTCTTATGAGCGGTGGAAAACATCCAATAAGATAAAGTGCTTCACCCCAGACCGGTGTTGTACCATTACGAGTATCTGTTGTTGCTTTCATTGTATTATATGAAACTTCAACATAAGAATCAACAGGTTCCCAAGTATTTGATGAAAAAATCTTTTTGGAAACAGTTGCTAAAAAATCAGTCATCATTTCAGGTAATTCACTGGCACTAAAAAAAGTGACTTTTAATTGTACAGGCAATAGAATACGAGGCATAGCTGCAGGAATTAAAGTTTTTCTAAATAAAATTTCTTAATAAAAAAAACAAAATAATAAAAACCAAATAAATATTTACGCTGGATCAAATTCATCATCTTCTTGTCCTCCTTCAGTGAGCACATTCTTTTAAGTAAATAGGAAACAGATTAAAAAAAATAGAATATTATGAGATAGAATAATAATCTATTTACTTGGGTTGGTACACCATGTTGTGTAACAGATATTGAAACAAGTAAATGACCACATTGTGCTCCAATATTTTCTGGATTAACTAATTGAGCCCATTTTCGTTCAAATGAATGTTCTTTTTCATTGTAAACTGTTGCTACATCTAACCGAAAAATCGCTATTGGCGTTGTATCTTTAATTTTACTAACTATTCTAACGTCATCATGAACCTTAAAGGATAATAATAATAATAATAATAATAGGATAAAAGCGTGCATCATCAGAAAATGGAAAAGTTTACTTTGATAAAAATAACTTTTTCCATGAATTTTGTAGCTGGTAATGTAAAATCGAATGAAAAGAACTAAGAAATAAATAAATTGATTGTATAATTGAGTTTTTTTATTTCTTTTTTTTTCATAAATATCTTACTTCACCAAAATACGGTGAATTAGAAGATTTTTGTACAGTTGTTTGTTGTTTTTGATCATCAATCTGAACAATAATATATGGATTAATATTGAGTCCTGGAAGATCTCGTGCGTGTATAATATGAACTATAACTTGCCATTCGTTCATTTCATATGGATCACCAATAAATCGACCCAAACTATATTTTAATTAAATTTCGAAAACTATTTTATGAGAAGAAAAACAACATTGATTGTTTACCTCTTTTCTAGTAGTTCTATATTATTGAGTTGCATTTTTTTCTGAGCATTTTCATCTAAAGATTGACCATTTTTGTTAGTAGTTGCATTTTCATCAAAGTCTGAATCACTATATGAATCAGTATCAGCATCATCTGTACGACCAATAAGTTTTGAACGAATTCTTTTACTAAAATAGAAACCAAGAAAACTATTGATTGACGAATATTAATTTAAATAATTACAATCGACTATCATGTTTCGAATGTATATGTCTATATCGATGACCACCATGTCGTCCTTCATCATCGAACATACTTTTCCAATCGACTAACGCGCTGTTTTCTCCCTGACCTAATGCAGCCATTTGTTCATCAATATCTGGTGGTGTATAATAAAGTTTAAGCTGTACACTACATTCAGTTAAACGGTTATTTGGATCGGATAAAAGTTCTTCCTGTAAATCAATATATTTGGATTCGATTAAACCTTCGAGTACTATTTCAACAACTCCGATAAGCTTTTTTCGCTTTTTCTTCGAATTAAATGTATAAAACTTGATAAGTAATTTATCATCGGGGACTAGCATTGTTGCTAAATTAAAATTAAATTTCTTTGGTGTGTTTCCACGTCCAATAAAATTGGCTGTACGATTACGAATACGTATATTGTTCGACCAAAGATGGATACCTTAAAAGAAAATTAGAATTATAATCAAATCATTTGTAAATTTATTTTGATATATCATATTTTGCTCTCCCTTTACTTTATTTTGATTTTTTTTGTGTGTTTAAATTCTATGCAAGGGTTTTCCCCCTATAGAATGTCTTTCTCTATAGTAATATTTGATTAATAGATACCTCGAAATTTGACTTTAGCACAAAGTAACGGTATATCTTCTTCAGGAGCAAATTTTACTGTTGCCATATCAGATGTTGCTTGATCATCGTCTTCATCAATATTATCCATCTTAGCAGTGGGATCATCAATATTAGAAACTTTAAATAGAAATATTGTCAAGGCCATTTTGTTCTTTGTATAAATATCTAAAGAATGATATATTTGATTTATAAATTAATTAAAATTACAACATGCCAGTAATTAATATAAAAGGCAAAACTAATATTCAGATATGTTAGATTCATAGAAAGGTATATATGTCGCTGATTGTTATACATAAACTGAGAAAAGCGTGTAAAGACTGATTGATCGAAAAATAGGTATGAGTGGGACAAGTAGCTATGTAGAAGATTTTTTCGTTCTCTCTGTTCTACTGATTGTATCGTTTTGCTTTCATGAAAATGTTACATTTTTTGCGTCGATACAATCTTCTAAACATATGAAAACATGATTTATTTATCAATGACTTATTATGATAATAAGATTATCGGACAAAAATTCTTAAACACAAAACGCTTAACGTTTTCGGGAAAAGTCTTGTCATATTACAGATATTAAATGTACTAAATTACGGTAAATCATGCGAGAAATATGTTAATTTGCGGAAAATTTAAAAAGACATACGTTAGTAAAAAAACTACAAATGAATCTATATTATTTTATACAATCATGCATCTGTTTGACTCATTTTCCCATTCAGTTGCACATGAATGATTACGAGCAAACGAATTTGAAAGAAAAAAATATATAAATAATATATTAAGCGCCTTTGTTTGATCCTTCATGATTGGTTTGTTTGCTTTTTTTTATTAGAAGTCATGCGTGAACCAGTAGAAATCAAAAAATTTATGATATGTTTAAATCATCGGTGATCAAGAAAAAAGTACATGTAGCTACTGTATCTAGTGCATCTACTTTTGTAATTACAGATATGAAAGATCATCTATCCATTAAAGTATCGATCAATCAACAAAAGAAAAATAATTAAATTAGATCGAAAAAAAAGACTTAATCTAAATCATTTAAAATATAAGCGTACAGTCCAAATGACGAAATAGTATCATAAATGCCAAAAATACATTTGAATTCGTAGAGCACAATGTATATTTAAGACTTGCAATGAGAGCTATTAAGAGATTTTTTTTCTTATTCAACAATTTGTTCCCTAATAGATGTCAATGAAAGATTGAGGATAAACAATAAAACCTTATTAGAACTGCTTGTTTTACTTGAATAATACTGTCGTAGTTACGACGAACATACATGAAAATAATGGGGAAAAAAACACAGTGCAAACCAAAGATCTCTATTGAGTTAGTGGCAAAAAGTCAAACTCATATTGATTGAAATCGAACATAACCGATGCATGTCTATCAATTTCGGCAGAGACTTGAATATATGAATATATGACAAGGAACTACTGAGAAAATTCACATAGATAATAGAGTAAATCATCAGAGAAAATGATGAAAATAAACAATTACTAAGTTGCGCCATGCTATGAAAACTTTAATTCTAAACTAAATATAGAATATATGAATAGATGTTTTGAAAAGAAATATCTGATAAATGAGCAAAATTTTCATTTAACAGCATGTAATAAATTGATAAAGAAGTCATCGATCGATCTGATTATAACAGGCAACTAAGACTTATTTTTGTTAAGAATAGAAAACTAAAACAATTTCGCAAACTTATCATCATAAGATAGAAAAAAAAGTGGAATATTAATAGCTATACAAATCATAAGTAAAAAAATAAAATTTCTAAGATTATTTTCATATTAACAGAATGAAAATAAAGCTTCTATTTTTTGACATAAATAACAATCGATTGCTATGGATAATACTTCAATTATTATTCAGTATTCTACTTTACAGTTTTGAGACAACAAGTCGATTAAATATTTAATTAAAGACGTTGAAATACTAATTTTCTTTTTTTCTCCATAAAAAAATAAGGAATAATCTGATTTCAAATTGTAGAATTAGTCATCCTTTTTTCTGATCATCAAGCTTGTTAGATGCTGAACTAACAGCGAGGTGATATGACCACAGAACGGAGAAAAATATAATCCTTTCGTGTTCGTGGGATTCGAACCGCACATCCTCTGCTATCCGGGCAGATGTACTACCGTTATACTAGAAAAGACAACTTAATCTCCGTTTGGAATTGTAGGGGACCACTACAATGCTAACAAGGTTCAATTACATTTATACTACACTGGAAAATTGTACTGCATTGATAGTAGATCATCGTTTCATCTAGTATCTATAAAAATGAATAAAGTTCGACGAACATTTTATCTAGCAAGAAATTGAAAATCTAACTCTTAAAAAGAGTTTATATATTAAGAATATCTTGAATAATCAGAACTTTATCTAATTCTTTGTAAAATAATATGTTCCTTATTTCAAAGTATTTGCTGTACAACGTTTAATTGATTTTAATTACTTTCTTTTTTAAATACTTCTGTTTTAGTTATGATTTCCATATTTGTCAACACAGAAAAGCAAGAAAAATAGTGTAAATCTACAGACTTGTTAGTTACAGAATAGCAGCCAAACATAAATCCAATCAATCTATCAAATAGGAGTCTGCAAAATCGCTTCGTTTCTAAAATCCAGTACTTTTTTTAATACTATTGGCATGCTTTTACAAATAAATATAAAACTGGCATGAATGATTTTGATTCGTTAACATTGCGAGCATTGTTTTATATGCATGTAGCAGAAAGAGAGATATACGACACCATGTTTTCCACGTTATAATCTTCTGAACACCAGCAGCTCTCAAATGCACCCAGAGTCGATACAAGTGCCCTTGAATCGATTTAGAACATTAAAATAGAAATAAAAAAGAGTGCAGCTAATATTTTTAGAAGAAGTTCTGGAACCATTTTTGGTAAGGTTGAGTTTGAAAGTGTATATTTATTTTTTATATCCGACAAATAACACCTATAAAATTCAAAAATTTCGATTCTTGGAAACAGACTCGTAATCATGAAAGACTTTGAACAGAATATGAAATAGTAGATAGCAAATAAGACGTCTTAAATCAGATCAAAATAATATATATATTTATATATGAAAATATATTTTATAGTATTTTTAAATACAAACTGGCTGGGATCAGCTTGGAAAACTTTCAATTCCGGCTCCAACATCGGGACTACTTTTCAGATCCCAAATATTAATAGAATATCATCTTCAAATTAGGAAAAGTATTCAATGTGTAGGAATTCATTGTTAATTGTTCAAAACACTAACACGAGTGATATAGTATGCGCTGTACGTCACTAGATATTGTTGATTGATATTCTTGTTATCTATTGTAATGAAGTTGATTGATCAGGATGAACTCCAAATCATATGGAGAAAACAAAGATAATACATTAAGTAAACATATAATTGAAGAAGCCAAACAACGAATATGTCGTATCGAAGTTACACTGGTCGACGAAGATACTTTTGTAAATATCAATACTGAATAATCAAGTATATGATGATGACATTCTTATAATTTACGATCAAAACTAATTTGCTCGATATTGAATTCATTTATTAATAAGAATATTTACAAATGTAAGAAAAATCTATAGTGAATACAGTTTTCTTGCACATTGATCTCTATTTGTGAATAAGAACTTAAAAGTGATGATCAACAAAAACAACTCGCCATTAGAAAAAGAATTTATTGTTTTCTCATATTATAAATTGAACGAATTAAAGCTAAAAGTCTTGCTCTCATTTACTTATATCTTAATTAATAAAACTAATACCATCTTAAATAGATAGATAAGAACTAAAGATTGAAAAATATTTAAATTGGCAATTAGTAATTTATTTTAGTAGCTGTATAATAAGCATATAAACGTCAAGAAAAAAATACAGCATATTGTTTCAAATCTACTACCGTTGAAATTTTTTTATTGATCATCAGCTACTTTTGAAAAAGTCATTGCAACTTCGATACAACACATTCGCTACATATAGAACGATCATTTTTTGTTCATTACAGTTTTTTATATTTAGTTTGTTTTTCTGTTCTGTTGCAACTATTCGAGTCAATCTCGTTTTTTTACTTTCACGTCTGAATCAGAATATTGTTTTCAACATAGAGAGCAGTTGTCCCAATGATACTACATACTATGAATCATATACATACACTTTTCGTGTCTCTTTTTTTTTCGTTATCATTCTTTCATGTTCTGTTTTGTATTGGATGCTCGCTGTATGTTGTCTCTTGTCGCTTTTTCTTGTCTATAACTTTTTTCTTATATCCAATCATCAATACTTTTCTCATAGCTTATTTATATGACGAACCTTTCATTCACTGGGCTTATTTTCATTTATTTATTATAGAATATAGTATTACTTCTTTGATAGAATAAGTACGAACAAACTCGAAGGATGATGGAAGCAATAAAATCATCAAATTCTTTTAAATGTGTTGAAAAAATCACAAGGCCATTGCGTCGTTTTTTAAATAAATTTCTTGACGATTGGTCATTAAGTTTTGCAGCAATGCTTTCGTATTATTTATTGATTTTTCTTCTTTCAATGAGCGTAGTAGTAGCTGGTATAATAGGCCTTTTTTTACGGAACGATTTTGATACACAACAGTATATAAAAGATAAAATCATTAATTCCATTGCCACTGATAATAGCACAGCAGCTGACGTGAAAAAAGTAAAATACTACTTTGAAAAATGTTTATGATAGTAATGTAACTCTTTTTTTTTCTTCTATAGGTAATTGATTTTGCTACCGATAAATTAACAAAAAACGCTAATGGATTTTTAAGTATTGGTATTGTTTTTACAATTTTTGGTGCGTCTCGATTATTTGTTGCTATCGATAAATGTATGTGTATTATATATCGAATACCGGAACGAGGATTTATCCGTCAAAATTTATTAGCTTTTGCGGCAGTTTTTATATTGATATTAATTATTCCAATAATGATTGCAACTAGTTTAGTTTCTTCTGTATTATTCAGTATAATACCAAGTGAGGCTGGTCGTATTGGAGCATTGGCAGGTGGAATCGGGCTCTCATTACTTACAGCATTTGTTTTTTTTGAGTTTATATATTGGGTCATTCCGAATAAAAAAATGTCACTTGTGGTTACATGGTGTGGATCTTTGATTGCTGCTATTACACTTGAAATATTTATCACTTTATTTCCATTTTATGTACAAAACTTTATGAGTAATTATACAGGTAAATTATTCATATAAAAGTCATTTCGATATGAGCGATTTTCATACGTTCATAAAGGTCAACTTGGTTTTGCCGTTATACTTCTTCTTTTTTTCTATTATTTTGCTACAATAATCATTGTGGGTGCTCAAATTAATGCTGTCTTTTTTGAAAATTATCAAACATTAGGTGGTGGATTGGGAACATGCGTAAGTCGTATGCACGAAGAATATGGCGTTGGCGATCTCAGAAGACCATTGATTGATGGAAACAGTGAACCAAGATCATACACACATTGAATTATGATCATCAACATAAAACACTACTTAATTGAAAACAAAACGAAGGCAAGAATCTCATTTGAAAAAAATGTATCTTTTTTAAACTTTGTGCTTATTTATACATCAATAGATTATCTGTGAATGTACACATAGATGATCATTAGAACAAAAAGCACTAGAAAAAAGACAAAAAGAAACTCAAAATATAATTTATTTCGACAGTTGCGACCTAAATATGACTAAGAAATTTTGCGAAATATTTTTGGTTTTATTCAGAAAAGCGTTTTTATGGGTAGCAAAAATTAATTGTTTCTAGTGAAATAAGATTGACATCTCGTCTAATTAGGACATTTAAAATACTGGAAATAATATTTTAATTCAAGTTAAATACATATAAAAATGAGGCCATTCAGTTTATAGCTGATTGCCAATCACTATCAATTCATTTTTTTAGATCTTATCCCTACAGAGATAAAATGTAGAAACCTCGAATTCAAATCCTAGTGTTATATATACTTCAAAAAGTGAAGTTGACTGCAGATTCGTTTTGATCAAACTGTCTAAAAGAATCGACCAGCAGTGGCAGTGTGCATCAGTTTTTCATAGTTTTTGGGGAGTGCAATTTTGAGGAAACCTTAAATGAACCATATTTACTTTTCTACAGGAAATAAACACATATCATACAGACAAAGTGTCAGTATACGTGAGTTTTTCATAGGTTTTGGGTACTGATGTATTGAGGAAATATCAAACGCAGCATATTTACCCCTATAATTTAGCATCATTTTGTAGCCTATGAAATTCTCTATCGAATGGTATATAATAGTTGAGTTTTCATTTTGACTATGACAAAGATTTTGATTTGCAAAATTTGAAATAGGTCAATATTTGCATAGAAAATAATGATATTTTGTGCTGTAAATCAGTAAATCCTTGACGAATTATTCTCATCTTCAAACTCGACCGAAATATTGATGAGATAATGCTGTGTACAAAATTTCATGACAATCTGATCAGCCTTTCAGGAGTTATCGCGTAAACGGCTGGACACACTGACCGATTCTATAGTGTACTCACTTTTTGAGTACACAAAAATAATAATATATATCGTCGATATCGGATCAGTCATGATTGGTTTTTAGCGTAATTCATTAGAAAATTCATAACTTTTGTTTTGATGATGATACTTTTCTGCATCTATTTTAATATCTATGTATTGTGTCTGTTCAACATAAAACTATCTTTTTACATCGAAAACATAAAAATGTCATCACACGTAGATCAGCCATCTTTTTCAAGCAGTCTGCTTGATCTATAACAGACGTAATCATTGCTTTTGTTTGGATCTCTGATAATATTAGATAAATATGTTCGAACTATTAAAATGAATGTATTCACAACACATTGAAAATTCATCTCATTTGATTATCAATGAGATATATGATTGTTACATTTATTTTAAGCTGGCTTCCATGTAGATGTTCCATAAGATGGATCTTCGACAAATACACGTGGTTGGTCTATATGTTCACATGATACACAACCGGGTGAATCTGTTGTTTGCTGCCTACAACATACCCACTGATCTTCGAGTAGACCTCCTCCACCTCCCAGATAGTAAGCGGAATGTTTTTTGCATCCATCTTTCGAATAGTTATCATATTGTTGTCCACAACGAGTACATTGTCTGTAACGCATTTCACCAGTTTCAGCACTTAATGCATCACGTGCGTCATCGAGAAGTGAGCGTAATTCAAAAACTTCAGTTGAACAATCATCGACAGGATCAGGTGGCTGAGCTTGAACAAGACTGCGCACAGCTTGAACGATGACATCAATCTATAGAAAAAAGTTTTAGGCAGATTTTGAAAACGCTACATGTTGACATACCATTGGAACTCCATTGATCAATTGTTTTAAAACATCATAAGTATAAACATCATATTGAGGAAAACCTTCTATAGCCTCTAAAATCCATTGTTGAAGTGCTATGTTAGGTTCTGTATGAAGAATAACAAAGGCTTTTCCACGCTGAACAGAATATTGAAGTTCGAGTCGACAATTCGTCGATTCAGTATATTCTTTTGAAAGAAAGACAAGTATCACTTTGGCACATTCCACACCTATGAACAAATTTATCGTTTCATATCATATTGCAAATAGACAGACCTGTAGCCATTGCATCATTGGTGCTACCCTGCATTGAACCCCATATATCAAACCAAGTTTCGACATTACGCATACGCAAATCTTCATAGATTTCACGGACAAGATTTTGTTTTCCCCATTGGTAACTATAATTATTTTTAAAATAATATCAGTTAAAGCTTGACAAAAACTCTTATTGATCTACCTAATCATGCAGTCGAGAAGTTTTCGTTTCGGTAAACCATATTGATCGACAATAGCTGGAGGTGCTTTAAAAGTTATGCGCGTAATTGAATGGTGAGTGTGCTCGAAATATGAATCAGCATGTGGCTCTTGCAGTTGAACACGAACAGGTTGTCGAGCTTTCATTGGATTGATAACATGAGATTTACGTTTTGGCGGCCATATTGACAATTTACTTTTACACATGTCAAGTTCTATTTGAAGTGCATTTTTCTCCATCGCTTCACGTTCGGTTTCGCTGGGAAATGGTTGGCATGCAATCTTTTAGACGACAAAAAAGGCTTTAGCTAAATACACATAAAATTGGAAATTTATTCGAAAAATTCATCCTCTTCAATAAAAAGATTCTTAAAAACTGAAATGAAGTCTTTTTTTTTTAATATACATATCTCTTAGTTCAAAAGATGTTCCCATAAGTATACCTATTTCTAGTATATAGTACTAATAATTGCTATCGACTCAAATTGGTATTGAGTTATAAAGAAATGAATTTTATTCAACATTTTCAAATAGTATAATTTTTATCATCTAGAAGCATATTTTGAAATAATCTTTCTTAATAATTTATAAATTTAGAGGTCTATATAAATTGGAACTATTATTTATTCATATGGATTTCTAATGCCATATGAAGTATGCGTACATTACTGTATTATCAGTATAATAATGTTCAAATCTGCATACCTCTGTTGCGACGCGTAAATCAGTAATGCGATTGCTATCGTAAAAAGGTTTGTTAGCAGTTTCTTGATCGAAAATACGAAAAAACACACGTCCCGCAATAACCAATCCAAGCCAACCTTCAGGACGCCATTTCTTAGCAGCTATAACTGGCACGATTTGTTTGCAATGAAGACGAGCTTGTTCCAGTGCTGCTCGACATAAAGGTGTTTGTTCGAGTTGAGGTGTAAGAATTGGCATAAACACAGTACATTGAGTTACGCTACAAGTAGCATCTGGTTTTGATAAATTCTCTACGATCAAAGACAATTGAGTATTCAAGAGAGATTCATGGATGAGTCGGCCGACAGAATCACCATCATCTGTTGTGCAAATGAGTACAGTACAGGTAGATGAACCTCGATGAAGTGTACACATCATATTGTTGTCATTTATCTAGATGGAATAAATCAAAGCATTTTATAGAATCATTATGATAGTTATATCATCTGTACCTGTGATAGATCCGTAACATTCAAAGGATCTTTCTTCTTTAGCACCTCTGTTCGAGTACTAGCAATAATTTCTGAGACAGCATGCAGAAATGATGCGTGATCGCTTAGTACGATCGATCGAATGGCACTCGCCACTATTGCGCCAAGGGCTCCGTACGGCCGAAAAGTACATTCTGCTAATATTGCAATAATTGGTTTATGCCTATCTTTGGCATAATTAAGAGCTTCCATACAAAATGGAGTTCTCTGATAGAATCGACTAATAACGACGACAAACACATCACACCATTGTATTGCATTAGCTCGAGCACTCAATGATTGCGGTGTAGTTTCATTTAATAGATAACATGATAAGCATTGATCAACTAATTTTTGTCCCAATTTTTCACTGATCGTTTGTTGAGTTGTATGGCTAGCAATAAGAATATTAGTTGTATGTTTATTAGAAACTATATAAAAATAAAGGCAAACAGATATTGATGATACTTGTCTAACAAAATGTAATACCGGAAGAGATATGTGAGGCATCGATATTTAACATTTTTGTATTTGATGCTATAGGAACGGGAATGACATGTGTCGATGTTGTCACGACATTATTGTTTGATGCTGCGCAACCCATGGATAATTTTTCACTAAATAGAACTGAAAGAAAGAAAACGACCGAGTAGAAAAGAAAAGAAATATTTGAAAAACAAAAGTTTTACTTTCTTTCTTTTTCTTTTTTTCATTCTATTTTTCCTCTTCTCTCAGATTGTTTCATTTGTAGAACATAAGCTGATGAGAATATTTATTTTTGTCTTATTGAAACTTCTCCATCTTAACGAGTCTATATGCATTATTAATTAAGTTTTTGATTCAATCCTCAATGAAATTTATTCAACAACTCCTTTAAAATTGTTTTCTTGTAGATCTTGCGATGATTTACCGTTATTCTTACAGTATTAATCATACTAAGAATAGAAATATGAAGATTTATTTATGTTCAGCCAACTATCATTATTGCCTGATTTACTTTAAAATAGTCATCAATTGCCGCCTATTCGATAATTTATTTTCTCAGATCTTCATTTCAGATGTTGATTAGATCTTAAGAGAATCGTTTACGACACATAAAAATCCATCATCAGATAGACTCATAAGTAATTATAATGAAATTCAAATTTCATAGAAAAAGATTCTTAAAAAATCAATCGAAGGCAACACTCATAATAGATAAATCCATGATAATTTTGCTTCGTTCTAAATCAAGAAAGACAATAAGTCTACTGTGGCATTTATGTGTCATTCCACTTATCTCTCACACAAATGCCATAATTTGTTGTAAATAGTTTGTATTAGAAAGATATCGATTAAAATCTGTTTTATTTGTTCATCGTGACTGCATAGATTTTAAATTGTCTACATCGCAATCACTAGTTTGTAGTATCGATGTTCATGTTTGTCTGCATTATTAACAGCCATACCAACACAAGTGCTATCATTATCTCTAACATGAGTTTTTTTCTTTCTTTCAGTTATTATCGGGATCTTTTATTGAAACGAGAGAACCATTTTTCTGCAACTCTCGTACACTTTCCCTAAAGTTCCTAGAAAAAAACCGAGTAAACATATTGATTTCATCTGTGAATGTTGGATGAATATATCACTGAAGAGAATCACTATTTTGTTGAACTTACTAATGCGGCCCTTCCAAAACATTTACTCAAACAATTCAATTCGTCAAAAACAAAAATGATTTTTATATTTATAGATTTTGCCATTTTTGAACCGTGCTAAGTGTTTTTATACAGCGTCAAATGTAAAGTGTTATTCTTTCAACTTATGGATTTTTTTTTCTATCATTATAATAAAAATTTCATGAATATTCCTCAAGATTTTTCTCATGATATTGATTTATTTTTTACTTGCATAATTGGATTTAAGATCGCTGTTCACATATATCGAGAATACTAACACAAAGAAAGTGAATAAGTCTAACAAGAAATGTTTGTCTTTTTCTAGAAAAACAGAGTGTAATGACAAAATTCATTCATTATTGTACGAATCTTTTTCAAATCTAAATGATAAATAGACGCACATGGTTGTCTAATGCGATTTTTTCTAACCAGAAAATCACTCATAAAAAGTTTATCTTACTTCATAAATTCAGATAGGTTTTTCCATTCGGGAAGACGATAAAATGTGTGTAGCACAAAACTGCCTAGTAAATTCGTTGCATATATATGCAAAAATTCAATAGTTCCTCATGAATTTCGTCGTTTCTACCGAACAATTATTGATGAAAAATCATTTATGAACATGATCATTATTATGAGCAGTAAAGAGCTACTAAAACAATATCAACAGATTACATTTTTTTTTCATATAAAAATATTTAGTCAAACTATCAAACTATCAAAATATATTTTCCAACAAATATTATTGGTGTAAAATCGATATTTTGTATAAAATAAATATTTGGTAACCCATTTCAAATATTAATCGATAAATAGTTTCATTCAAACAAAACAGAATCTATTACTCTGCGACCATTACAACGAACTTTTATTTCTCTTTAGCTATTTCATTTCTTAAAATATTCAATGCTTGATATCGATGCGAAACTTTAAAGTCAATATACGTAAATTAAACGGATATGATAATTATGAATAAACCATTTAAACACATGAAAGATGAATTATAAAAAACGTTTTAGATTTTCTTAGATATAATATTCATAGGTAATATTATCCATAGATTTATTTCGTGTTTGTAACATAATTCAAAACATATTCGAAAAAAATAAGAATAAACAAAATAACGAAGAAAACAAACAGGTTTTTTTTAGGGATTAGCACTATAAAAACAAATGAGAGACAGAGAAAAGAGAGAACGAAAGAGAGAGCACAGACATTGAAAATACACAGAAAGATATATTGAAAATAGCTGTACACAAAAACAAATAAGAAAAATCTAGATCACACATCTTCTTTATGTCTTCTTGCTGATTTCAATGCAACGAATTCTTTAGCTAATTCATCATTTGTTCTATGCGATAATATTCTTAATATAGTTAAGCCAGTATCATCAAAATTAATTCGAGGACCAAGTGGAATCCAAGATGACCATGAACCTTGTTCACAAACTTGCGTTAATTTGATAACATTTAATCCAATAATTCGATCCTCACGCATAAACGAATAATCTTTTACTGCAATATTTAATTCATAGCAATCAGGTTCTTCCTCATTACCCAATAAACTAAAATTGAGAAAATAAACAAAACATTTTCATTGAAAAATAAATAAAAAACCTTACAAATGAAATGTTTCATTATATTTCGGTATCCATGTGTTACTTTTCGTTTTAGTTGTATGTTTTCTCTTTTTATCATTGAGATGAGGACCACATATAGCTATTTCAATGTATGGACGAAACATTCCAGTGGTACGCCATTTAAGACCATTGGCAGCCACAACTAAATTATAATAGTTTATGAAAACGAAAAAGTTGAGTTTTATTTTCAATACCTTTCACAGTAACTTTATGTTCGCCAGTACCGGGATGTGTAAATAAATCAACTTGAATCGATAATTCACCAAAAGATTCTTCGAACGCTGGACGATCTTTAGTTTAAAAATAAATAAAGACATAAATATAACTTCATAAATAGAAAATTTGAAATATTTACCTTGTTCTTTTTCGGTTTTAACAAATGTTTTAATTAATGAATCAGTCGTTTGTGTATACAACGAGAGTGCATATTTAAGTGACTGTAATTCTGCTGTTTTCTCTAAATAATTCTTTTTCAAACCTTGCCCAGATGCATGAAAAAATTCTTTTAAATCTTCTAAACCGCGATCTAATATTTGACATTGTTTCTGAGTTAAACTTCGATCACTATCTCGACCTAATTCCTGTTCAAACACAATAAATAAAAATATTTACTTTAATTAATCAAACAACAAACCCCAGATAAAAGTCTATAAGCATCTTCAATTTTAGCTGCTGGAATTGTTAAAAGATTTTTTGAATCAGCAAACGGTGGTAGAACAATAACTTTTTCCAAATCACTAATCACTGTTTTCCATAATTCCTTCAAGAGACGTTTCAATACTGTCTTTTCACATTGATTTGCAAAGAATGTCAATCTAAAATGGTAAAGAGAAAAATAAACATTATGTACAAATTTCCATACATCTGATTGAAGATAAATTCAATTTAGAAGAAATTCTACAGTTTATCAAATTAGATATTCGCATGATGAATATATAGTTTTATTCTATTTAATTTCGAAATTTTCGTTTCAACGGAAAGAAGACATATCTTTATACTGATGTTTATATTATTATAAATAGCACGAGAACAGATAGATCTGTGATTATTTCTGATTGAAGTTTATCTACAAAACGAATGAAACCAGTTGTGTTTAAATATATTCTACATTGTGTTATGTCTTTGACCTTAAGGACTTTTGCTTTTGAACACGACTCATCTGTCTACAGATAACTATTGATTATCGATCGTTAACAAAACTATTGATCTATCAAGTAGAAACCTTTCATTAATAATGTTCCAATAGATTAGCAATACAGTCAAACTTGAAAACTAAGATATGTTAAATAAATAGCAGAGATAATCTGACGGTTTAATATGTGCTTTTCTTTTCGTGTTCACATCCAACTTCGAAATATTCTTTTATGAGAAATCTATCTAACCGAGACTTTTCTTTCATATTTGAAAATATATTAGAAGGTCAAATAGTTCGTTAATTCATGATTTCATTTAGTAATTATGAGACAAAATAGGAAGAATATAATGTATATATATATTGATATTTGTGTTTTAAAATAGTCCATAAATTTCAATGAGAAATAGTCATCTAAAGAGTATAATGCATCCTCAGTTTTTAGTGTTAACCTTACTAATTTGAATTTAAAGATTGATTAGTACTTGCTAAGAAAATTTCTTTTTTCGAAATAGTCTTCAATGTAAAATAAGTGAACAGTCAAAAAAGATGAAAATAAGATTACAAAACAACAAACAAAATTTTCGTACCTTTGATCAAGATAATCTAATAATGATTTAGTAACAATCATAGCTTCAGCACCTTTTTGTTGTCCACTGTTATTTCCCATTCCAATTTGGTTTCCTTTAATTTGTTGTAATTGTTTATAAACTTCTTCGATTGTTTGTCTTATTGTCGGTTGTATACTTTTAACGAACATTGCACTTAATTCATCTAGTACATCACTTAATTGTTTTTGTAATTCATTAAGTCTACATTTGGTTTCGTCGTCCAATAGTGTCCCCCCCATTAATTCATATAGTTGTTCTAAATTCAACCTTAATTGTTGAATATTATTCATTAATATTGAACAAGTATGATCTTCGCCACCAACATGTTCAAATGTTCGACGTATTGCATTTGCATAAGCAAGTAAAACTTTTGAAATAGTTACAGAAAAACGTTGCATATATGCAGCAATAACAACTGGATCATGAAGATCAAGACTTTTTATTATTCCATGACATTGATTCAATTGTGTAAATACATCAACAACTGATGAGGAAAATAAACAATGCTCAGATGTTTGTTCAAACTGAAAAAAAAAGATAGATGATTTATTTTAAAACTAAAACTTCTTCTATTAAAATTTATTTACCCCTGTTTGTCGATCTTTTTCAATTGCATTATGAAGATATTCCATGGACATATCATCGTTTTCATTCAGCCATTGCATAACGAATGGCTCGAACCATCTGCAGAAAAAGAAAGAAAGAATGATTTGAAAAAATAACTAACAGGAAAAAATTGTTTTAAAAATCGTCATGCTAAACAAGCGCAGTCCCATAAAACCAATCACTCGATTTATTACCGTTTGAATTGTTTAGGCGTGTAGTAACTGTCGATTAGTATTTATTAGTTCAGAAAATGCTCAAAGGAATAAAAACAAAAGAAACATAACTTACTTTGGATATTCTGGAATAATATTTTTAGCTTCTGGAATTATTTTAACTGATGTATCATAAAATTTTTTCACCATAAAATGAAGATTCATATAATCAGCACTTTTTATTTCACGACATTCACTTGGAATTCGAGCATGTTCTAAAAGAAATAATAGGTTTCACTATTAAAAATTGCAGAATCGAAGGAAAACAAATAGAATTTCCATTTTAATTTTTTTATGCAAAATTAAACAAAGTTTGTTTAAACAGATTGCATAAACTTATTGATATTGTTTAATTGAAGTTTCAACAAAATAGAAAGCCATTATGTCAAGACCTTCACCATTCCAAATGTTGCTCCGACACAATTTACGGAATGCGCTCAAAAATATTTTATTTAGTGACTTAAAATTCAATTATAACCTTTAAAAAGTTGTCGCTACTATTAACTATTCATGAGTTATCGGTTGTAAACTAAAATTGCTACTAAAACCATTGCAGTGTAAAAAACATTTATGACACAGTTCTTGCTAGACCCAAATGTGAAGACGATATAATTCTAGTTGCAAATTATAGAAAAATTATTTTAGTCTTTCTATTATGAAACATATTTCTTCATCATTATTTACTCAGTTCGTGACAAATTCAGTTAAGTACAAATTCATATAGAAGAGTCTATTGATTATGTATTATCAATACTTGATGCAGCTTACTGTAACAAAATATGGAATGTTCACTAACCTAAGGATTCTTAGTGATAGTTATAATGTGAATTTTTTTAACATTTCTGGTATACTCTTATCTTATAGTGAATAAATCTTTGAATAGTTCTATTTTAAAAGGGCCAAGCAAAATCAAAATATAATCAAGAGAAATTCAATCTCAAAAATTCTCTTGATTATTCGACTTAAACATAGTTCTATATCATTAACTTCGTTTTCCCTTAAATACTGAAGATAGCAGTTCCCTAGTTGTTTTCAATCGAAACTTAGATAATTCAAATCAACTGGGACATAATGCTAATCGTCAATGTTAGATAATGTTTTGTTGAACTAATTACATTACTCTTACGATATTCAGATGTCAATGATAATCTCATTATAATATCATTGGTAGTTAATTTTACCAACAATTTTTTATATAATCAACGGAGATCTTTTAAAATGTCGATTTGTTTTTGCTAAAATACGAAAAAAATTACCTTCTAAATGATCTCGAAGATCAGCTGATAGAAATTTCCATAGAGTATCTGCACTAATATGACCGACATTCACTTCTGATGGAAATCTAAATAACAAAAAAATAATAATAATGATATATTTCTATAGTAATGAACAAAGGAAACAAAAAACTCACTGATTCAACACTAAACTATATCGTTCTCGATCTTCAGATATAATACATGTTAATAAATACATAAAACGATTCCAAAATTTTAAACTTTTGACGCTTGGCACGATAATACTAGTTGTTAATCCTTCATCTTCATTTTGTTCATCATTACTTTCAATAGCATTCGTTTGTTGTTTTGATTCTCGTTTATAAACTTGATCACAATTAGCAAATAAGAAATCATATGTATTACGAATACAATTTTTAACGCAATCTTTAACTACACTTGATGCACGAGGTGGAGAACTTAATTCTTGAACCTAAAGTTAATTTTTTGAATAATATAAAAAATCTGTGAAATGTATTTGATTGAATAGCTGCATATTAACAAACAGAAGAATAAAACCGAGCAAATCAATCAAAATGAAAAATATTTGAAACCATGCTCAAACTTACGTCATTGTTAACGGACATTCGAAAAGGAATCTTTCTTCCATACTAAGAATTATTTTCAGTATTTTAGATGCTTTTTTTCTCTTTGTTTTTAATTTGTTTTTGGAATTAAATTTCATTTGGAAAGAAAAATATTTTACCTTCATACGAAAGAATGTTATCGATGTGAGAAGATCAACAGTTGACTTCAAGTCTTGCATTCGCTCTGCACTCGAGGATGGAAAGTTATTCTAATTATAAAAAAAAAGAAGCAGATCAATATCCAAAAACAAAATACAACAAATTTATTTTAATACAAAATACATACTCTATACATCGATAAATCGATACGAATTGAATTGTGTAATTGATCAAGTAATTTAATAAATTTATCTTTCTAAAGAAAACAATTAGTTTTAGTTGATTCGAGAGGTTTTAAAAACAAATTTTAATGAAAATGAAAATTAATCGTTGAAATCAATTTTTAATACTTGAAATAAGTATTCATTAAAAAAACAGTTACTCTTTTTTGTATTGAAAGAACTTGTTTTAATATTGTAATTACTTGTATAAAATTTATGTTTTCTCAGAAAAAATAAATGTTTTTTTATTGAAAAGCTCTAATACTCTAGCTAACGCACATGACTGATTTTCTTTGAAATAGTTCTCAATATGCATCAATACAGTTATGAAAAAATCAACTACAAATTTGATATTACGGATAGAATTACTCTAAACTTTTGACGATAACTATGAGTACTCGTTTGAATGAGCCCGAGTAGCTAGTTTTCGAGCACGACTAAGAATCAATAACTCAATCTGTTGGCTAAATTAGGATATGAGCAGTCGATTGTCTAGCGTCAGATTCACTGATCCAATATTTTTCTTACAATGCTAACTAAATGCAGTTGTGCACTGTAGGTAGTTTGACGCAAAGTTCTTACGCAATATTGTTCTATTTCCTTCTACAAGCTGCCCTGATCCATATCAGACTTTACACTAAAGTTACAGCAAAACATAAATAGTATGTGATGGGATGGCTGTTATGAGACACACTGCTGTTGACGATTTTCTGCAGATCATCGCATGGTTAAGGATACGAAATCGTGTATACAGTAACCAGCTTATACATGTTCTATTGTGTAGCCACTTAGAGAGGCTACTCAATCAATCAATCAACCAACAGATTGGCTAGTCTAAAAGTAGTAGTAGTAGTAGTGGTTAACATTGTAGATAGTCTCATTTAGTTTGATCAGCATCGAAAAGTACCACAAGATAAATTTATTTTAACTACTAACCAATATTGATTCCATCACTGAAAGATTAATTCAATCAAATGATTTCAGATTTGGAAAGTCTAAGTAAATCATTCTATATCATAGTCTATAGGAGATCTCTTTTGTTCTATCCAGTAAAAAAGCAATCCGGTTAACAATTAAATTATTATTCAACAAAATCAAACTTTTAATCAAATGTAGATATTTCCTCGTGAGGAAAGAAAAATAAAAGCTACCAAAACGATTGAAATCACAATTTTCTTCTTCTTATAGTAATCTAATCGTTGACGGGAAAGTTTTTACTGAATTATCAATAACTAAATTCCATCTATAAATACAGATAAATCAAATTATGATTCCTAACTCAAGGAGCAAGACTACAATTCAGATTCTGATTTGAATTTATCTGAATGTTTTTGTTTTTTCGTTTTAGATTATTTGCATATATTCCATTGATGATTAATCGATTCTACTTTGTGTCTGTCTACCATAGATCAGTTCGAATTTCTTTCTCTTCGTTAAATTCCATTTCTATTTATTTATTTACCGAAAATAATTTTATCTAAGCTCTAACTCTGAGCAATTTAAGTTTGATACATATTGAATTCTATCGAATAATTTCATTTTCTACATACTCCAAAATTCGATGCAGCAAACTGATCAGCCGCTGATACAGCAGTTGTTGCTGTTGTATGTGCATAATAAGCATTTATATTAGCTAAGAGAGTACTCATCACAGCAGGAACACCGGGACACGTGTATTTTGTTGATAGACATGCAAAATGCCTAAGAAAGAAAAGTTCTAATACATTCTATGCGTAACGCAAGATAATAGTTTACGTCATTGCTTGATAAATTGATTCAATACCATAACGTACTGCAAATTCATAAACAATTTCTTTTGAAGGTTCATCAAAATAAATTTTCCAAGCATCATCCTTTAATAGACAAATAAATTAACAAATAAAAATGAAACGAAACAAAACAACTAAATGTCTTACTCCTTTAGCATCAGGAATAATTGGTTGGCCATTATTGTTTTCACAAAGTGTATAAAATAAATTCTCATGTAAACAAGTATATTGTGCACGATATGGAGCTACTTTTTCTTCTCCTTTAATTTCAACTGAAATATGAAGACGAATAGCACCAGAAACAGCTGATTTATCGGTTCGTTTTTCTAAATTATACCAAACATCCATTTCACCTGATAATGTTCGAACTTCAATTATTGTTTGTCCAAGAAAATCATCGGATTCACGAGTTAATTTTTGCATTAGTTTAGCTCGTATATCATCATCTTCATCCCTAAATTTCATTTTTTAGTTAATATATTTTTCTTCAAATAAACCATTTGAAATACAATTTCTACTTACCATACTCGAACTTTAATTCGATCAGATGAGTTATGACACTCACTAACAAATAAAGAAAACTTTAATTAATCGAAATTAAAATATTTCAAAAATAAAATTACAAAAAAAACTTTTCATTCCATGTTGGATTTAATTCTGAATAAACAGTTTTTGTTCGTTTTTTAACTTTACCAACTTGAACAGTAACATAAGGATCTGATGTCCCAGTTTTATCTTTTGCTATTAAACCTTGAGCACTTATCACTAAAATTATAAGGAAAAAAATAAATAAATATATATACACATAGAAAATAAAAATAAAATCAATTTTTCTTCTTACCAGTTATTGCCAATTTAGCTGACCACTTTGATGTACCATCCAGTACACTTTGTTTAACAGCCTTCATATGACCAGCATGAGATTTCTCATCAACGTTAAATACATCCCTGAAAAGAACTTTTAATAATTAAAAAGAATTTTTATTTAAAAAAATAAAATTATGCCTGATTGTCTTGAATAGGTGTGGTCTTGTACTTTCCCTGAGTGTCATTTTTTCCTGCATGGCTTCCATTAAAGTTTTTGCTTTATCATCAGCGCCATGTTTAGCATTTTTTTGAGCTCGACCTATTGATAAATAAATTCTTTTAATGGTATATATAATGATAGAAAAAAAAATCTATATATATATATATATAATGAAATAATCAAAATGTATTTGGCTAACTTGAAAATATGCATGTGAAATATATCGCCTACTAACAGACAGCATTCTGTGTTCAAAGCATAGCAATAAGAAGCTCAAATGAAATGGAAAAGTTTTTAAAACAAAATCAAGCAGGATAATGAAAATGTAAATACAAATATCTCAAAATTGCTGCATACGTTTCTCCTCGACGGTAATATAATCAATCTCATCTGGATCATCATCAGGATAGATCACATGAACTAACGATACTAGAACAACAATTATATACACTACAACGTAGAATACAAATACAAAAATATAAAAGAAAAATAAATGAAAAGCTTTCTTTTAAATATAAGACAACAAAAAAAAGAGTACATATACATGTATATAAATATAAATATTTCTAATGATTATAAATAATCAATGCTTACGTTGAAGACAATCAGCATTTAGAAGATCTCTGCATTTTTCATGGCATTTAACTCCGCATTCTCGACATTTTAAGCCTTGTCTTGCAATACCCCATAGTAAACCTTCACATTCATAACAATAAGTTGGATGTGCAAATGAACAAAATTCGAAATCATGTGGAGTTGTTAGTGATATCGGATAAATTAATGCTTGTAAAGTTTTTTTATATACATGAGTACGCTAAAATTATATTTTTTTTTAAGAAAACAAATTAAATTAGTAATTATTATTATTATTTACAAGTTCTTCGTCATTTAAATTATGTCTTCCAATTGCACTTGGAACGCCAGCTGATCGTTTAACGCCCGATATACCCTAAATAAAATTATTAGTGAATAGATTTTTTATTTTTTATTTTACCATATCAAGACCCAATGGAACTGTTTTCCCATCAGGTATATCCGGTGCACTATCAATACAATTATAGAATGCATTATTGGCTTGCTGTTCACCGGATATTGTGCTAGAACAAAAATAAAATAAAATAATTCATTGGATTTCTTTCCTTTTGGAATATTTCCAAGTAGTTGTTTACTAATAAAAAAAGTTCGGAATATGTTTGTCTTTTTTTTTCATTAAAATAAATAAAAGTCGGCAATCTGTTTTCACTACAACTATGATTTTTATTCATCATACACAGAAAACGTTGTTGATTAAAAGAAACAAAATATTATATCGGCACGCAAGAGATAAAAATATCTATTTAAAAATTTTCTACACAAACTCATGATATAATTATATCGATATGGATGTTAGAGAAATATGTCATGAATAATATGAAAAGGTTAATTGTTATTCACTAAGAATAGTTCTTTTTCGCTTTTCGTTATTCGTTGAATATTGAGAGCTCGATAAACAAACGATCGAAAGATTCTTGTTTATTAGTAATAACAAATATACATGGAAAGAGAGATATAAAATGAATACTTGTAGTTAAAAAGAGTAAATATCATACACTTGAAATAGATAAAGATATTTGGATTCTCTAAGGATGCAGAAGGTTTAAACTTTATTTTTTGTGAAGATTCTGACAGTTTTAAATCTAGAAAATTCATTAAGATTGGCTCGATTTGATCGCTTGTATATTGTTATAATGAAAAGATCAATGAAAAGCGAACTCAATGTATAAAGAAGTTTCATCTGACTAGGCATCATATGTTTTCAAATACGTCCGATGTTTTTCATTCTATACTACGAACAACGCCATAAGTGCTGTCAAGGCGTAAGTACCCACATAGAATAATTTAGAATAAATATTGATGGTGCATAAATCAAGAATCGAATAATGTAATCAATTAACAATTCGTGCATCTTTATGAATATGGTCAAAAAATGAAAAACTAGTTATTATTAAAATCGATATGACATACTTTCCATTATTTTCAGCATTGATATTAGAATTATTATTAATATTTGTAGTTCCTGGTAATATTCTTCTTGTGATCAACGTTCCATCTGCATCAATTGTGGAATTCTGTTTTAGTTGTGATACTTGGCCAAAGAATTTCCCGTGTGAATGCTATATTCATAAGAAAAAGAACCAAAAACAATATATAAATATGCTTTAATAAAATTTGAAAATAAATCTATCTTCAAAAAACAAAAATCAGTAGAACTCACATCGTCATTATCCGGTAAAGAAATTATTTCGAATAAATCATCATGAAAATTTTTCTCATTACTTTTTTCATCATGAGAAAAAGTAAAATATCGATTAAATTGCTTCATATACGAACTTAACTTTTGTTGAAACATAAAATTTGGACTTCGATAAATATTTTCATGAGATGAATAAACATCAACATCGGATAAAAGAGAAGGACAAACTGGTATACAACATATATGGTGCATATCATTCGTTTTTAGATTATTATCATTATTATTATGACAGATATATGCTTAGAATATCAAGTTATCTATTTTTTTTTCTTACTGATGTCCAAATCAACAGAATACGAAAAAAAAGGAAAAGTAACTAAACAATCACTTGCTATTTCTTTTCCGTTTTTTAATCTATTTCTTATTTGACATGATTTATATCATGCAACTATCTCCTATGAGTATTAATGTATGCATCACTAAAAGAAAACATAATCAATAGACTACATAAAAGAAACTGAAATTCTCAAATAATTAAACAAATATTCAATTCAATAATACTTCAAAAGAAAAACTGCCACAAAAATTTTAAGTTATGATAACCGTTCTTTTGTCTTTGTAGATATTTTTCTTTTCAATAATATATTTTAAATGGCATATAAAAAAAAATAAGAAGTTTATCTTAGATTCTTGGTTGTTTATTAGAATAGTATTTGATGTCAGTGCAAAAGATTTCAGAGCATATATATATATATTTGTCAGTGTATAAACGCTTGATGTCATAGAATATAAAGAGCTAGAAGAAAATAGAATAACAAAATCCTTGGAGAAAATCAACACATTAGAATGCTTAAAGAATTATCTATCAACATCTGTATACTTTGTTTTCCATCTAATTATTAAGTCACTTCGACATCTCAAAATATTTCATTAGTTTTTATTTTGCTGTATATTATTAAAGACATAACAATTCATGATATTCCTTTGAGATTTAAATACAAAACGACAATCTACTGAGTCATTTTCTATTACATGACCTGAAGGTCATCCATTATTATGATTAGTAGTAGTACAAGAGAAAGATAAAATGAAATCTGCTGATGAACATCATATTCAACAAAATATATCAAAACTAGTAAATTGAACTCATCGATTCAAACAAATAGACGGCATATAGGAAAAAGATTAAGTCGATATTGTTCGTTAAAACTATAATCTAAGAAATATAATTAGATTAATGAAATATTATCAATGATTAATTCGAAAAGCTATAAGATATAGTAATATAAACATTATTCATCTCACTACGACGAAAATCTACACAACTGTATGTATATAAATATATATGATGCAATATTTATTGGATTTCGTATTGAATGTCTATGACAATTGATAATTGACGAAATTTAATTTAATCAATTAGTATTTCTTAAAATTTTCTCTTCTTTTGTTTCAACCGCTAAAAAATGTTTAACGTTTTTGTTTTTGCAAACTGAACACTGTAATAAATCTTGAATAAAAGAAAAAGATAAAATAGATGATTATATCACAAATGTCACGAAGAATGAATGTGAAATAATTTTATTCTTCGATAATATCATAAGTCTCGATAGTTTCTTCTGTAATAATTGGCATTGGTGATCGTTTTGATGGTTGAATAGTTTCTAAAACAAAGGAAAAAACTTTTTCCCTTAATTTTGACATATATAAACGAATCATTGCTAATCTGGATAAACGTGAGAAATTTAAACTTGTTTTTGTATTGAATAAAAATGGTTCTGGCTCAGGTTCCATAGATTGAGGTATTTGGCTAAATGATGTTCGATAATTTGCATTTGCTAATAATAATGCACGCGGTGTTGCATGCTTTAGAAATGTCCATTCGATGGATGATATATCCATTAAGGATAAATGTTTTGATAAAAGTATTGTTTCTTGATGAGCTTTTATATTTAAATCTGTTAAACTTCGATGAAAAGGACGATTCATGATTTTATTTTCATATAAAGATTCAATATCAAATGTGATTTTTGGTGTTATGAAATTTGTCTTAAGAAATTCTTCAATAGTAAAATCATAATTTGTCATAGGCGTTAATACTTCGCCTAATAACGATGATTGACGTGAAGATATATGATGTTCACCTGTTTGTGATGACATATCAAATTCAAGAAAACGATTACGTAATATTTCAGCCATTTCATTTACATCATAAGATGACAAAGCATCAGATTCAAGTAAATGTCGAGAACAATCTGATTTGTCCCATTCTAAATCATCTCCATATAAACTTTCTCCAACACCTGATGTTGTTGCTGTTGAACGACGTCGAAATAATTTAACCATTGAATTTGATCGTGAATTTGGATTTGAATACATTATTTCCATATATGATATTTGTAACAGCAGTGAATCAAGTATACATCAATGAATGAATGAAGAAGAAAATGAAAAGTCACCGAGAAAATGTTTTTTTCTTCTACCTCGACATTCTCTTTATATCAAAGAACAAACAAAAAAAATAGAGAAAAAGCAGCAGCTGTTACAAAACATAGTCCATAAGAGATTGATGATTTATTAAATGATGAAAATCTCAATTATTGAGATGTATACATATGCATACACAATGAGAAAATCAGCCAGTCAATCGTACTGGCACAGCTGTATATACGCTATTCTTATCCTCGAAAGATTCGTTTTTTAAATATAGATTTTTTTTCTCTATGACTAACTTAAAAATAATAGAAATCATCATAAATTTGATATGATCAATAATTAATAAAGATTTAAAATAAAAAATTTAAAAAAATACGTTTTAAAGAATAATCTTAACATTGACATATGATTGAGTTCGATCAAGAGATCGAATTTAATCACCAAGTAGATATTCGAGTATACTTTCAAACCATCAATAAATATACATCTATGAATCATCTAATTTGTAACCTTATTGTAGCATTTATAATCAAACTTTAATATCTCACAGGAAGAGTCAAGAAAATAATTAGTTTATTCTTATATTTTGTAAATACTTAGACATACGCAGATCTAGTTTATGAAATTGTAATTTTTGATAAAGCGTGAAAAACTTTCATTTGCACATTTTATTTTATCAGAATATTAATTATTGAACGCCTTAAGATAACTTTGTTTTATTATTTATTAATGTGAACTCTTTTTCTATTATTCGAATTGAATATTTTTATGGAAATCTTATGATTACTTTGCTATTATTCGAATAATTGAATAGGAAAGAGAATTATTGAAGAATCTTATTCGAAAATGTTGCAAGATGTCAAAAGAACGTAATAAACTTAACGGTTTCTAAGTCTTACTAAGTGTTATTTATAAATAATAATAATTAAAGTCTTACTTGATTTAATTGCTTAACCGTTCGAACAGCATCTTTCCATTTTATTTTTGAAGCTGATACAGGAATACTATTTTGATCATTTGTATCATTCAATAAAGAATTATCTTCTTTCGATGATTGAATATTTTGACTACTGATTGTATAATGATGATTACTTGATTCATCTTCTTCAGAATGAACAAAATGTTGATTACTAGTTGGACTAAAGAAGAAAACGAAGAAAGTTTAGTTTATTTTTGAAGACAAAAAAAAGGGAAAATCAATGAATTCTATTGAAAACAAAATTAGCTAATTCTTTCGAATGTCTTAAAACAAATGCATGCGAATAGTTATTAGTACATTCAACAATATCCCCTTTAGGATAAATTTGTTTCATTTCTTTAACGACATTGTTAGGTACCCAATGATCATTGGCACCATAGTAAAATGTTATTTTATCAATGAAACGTTGTATAATTTGATCATCACGTTTTTTAACAACGAACATTTCTTCATTTGCCATTTGTAAAAGATTTCTTATCGTTACAGGATTTAATAAATCATATAAAATAGTATCAGTTAAAATTGAACGATCACTTGATGGTGAATTTGAAAAATAATACGAGATTAATTTTCTTTTTAACCAATTTAATGGAATTAATAGATTAATAATAAAACATAAAAATGGTAAAAGATAAATCATTGTTGAATACCAACGTACAAAACTTTTTCCGGCATCACTTTCTCTCATACGTTCAATAGTTGGAAAAAGAAAAAATGCTCGATCTAATCTATGTTGAATTCTTTCAAGCATATTTAAAACCATAAATGCTCCTATTGAATGACCAATTAAAATTAACCGATGATTTTTATCTGTTGGAAGAAGTTTTTCAATTGTTTTTATTTTATGTTCAATCTGTTCATTTAATGTAAAACAATATTTCAATGGTGGACTATGACCAGCTTGAGATATAATCAATATTGAAATATTTTCATTGAATAAATTATAAAGTTCATGAGCAAATGGAAGATAAAAACCACCAAGGCCAGGATTACCTGGAATGATTACGATACTTTTTGATGATAATAATGGATCACCTAATTGATAAATATGAGTTGATATTCCATTTATTGTTATTATTTCCTGTTTTGATTCCATTTTCATATTTAATGCGAAATCTGAAACTTATTTTAAGAGAAAAAAAGAAATCACAAACATTTCTGTCCAAAGATTCTCTCTTGATTTTATTTCTTTATAGATACAAATCAAGAAAGAAAAGAAAATCAAGATTCTGAATGTTTTCTAGTTTAATGTTTTTTCTAATACCTAGAATGATATTAATAAGCGTAAATAATCAGATATGTCAAAAAATAGATTGTATCTTTTGATCTTTATGTCAAAAACTGAATGAAATAGAAAATATATTTAAGATTTACATATACAACCTAATTAATTCTATTTAAATACTTTGCCTATTTAACGTTCATTTTCTTTATTAGTATGATTTATTCTTAAGGACTTAAAGAATATTATTATATTACACAAAACCCTAAAATTGTCTTAATCATTCATCGTAATCTGTTCAAGAGAATTCTATTTAGTATTAGTTTTAAACGATTTTATTGACGCTGTTCGTTTTTTTTACTAGAAAAAGTAATTTTCTTTTTGATTTTGTCGGAAAGAATTTGAACAAAGAGAGAGAACAGCAATTGTGGTCAACGATTCGATAAATTCTCTTCCTGAAAATAAAAATTCTCGTCTGTTACTCTTGTTAGTAGTTCACAAATGAATGCAATCATACGTGAATGTTGCAAAGAGCATCAAATTTTGATTTCGGAATACAAAAGTAGTGTTATCAACTATTTACATTAAAGTTGATACACGTGCCAAATTGTATCCTTTTAATAGATTCGAACATGAGAACAATCAATCATACATTCATTCATAAGATCAAACCATCCAACCAAATATTTCGAAGTGAAGCATTCAAAATAAACTACTTAATCGTTAATATTTGATAGTAAATCTAACGAAAAAAATATAGAATAAGAGATGACTGAAGACGATATTGTATACTTATACTTATAATATGAAGGAAATTAAGAAAGGGTCAAGACCATTCAAGGAAATGAGAAAAAAAAACGAGAGCAACTTGAAATATAAATAGAACGTTTTGATAAATTATTTTCTTATGCTTTCCTTTACTTTATCACTCACATAATTTTCTTGACGGATTTCATTACATGTCGATACCATAGAACAACAGATGCAAAATCGAAATTTTCACCGAGATTTGAATCTTGATCGGAATAGTAAGTGGGTATATTATAATCATCTTCTTGTTCATCAATATCATTTTCATTTTCGAATTGTTCATCATTTATATTAATTCTTTCTAGATTTCTATTATTAGTAGTAGGCGAATCAGTTGTTGATAATGTTTCATTGTTAAATGTATAATGAAATTGTGTTTGTATTTGCGGTTGATATTGATTTCCACGTTGTTGTAATAATAAGAGTTTTGTATGAATTTGATCATCTATTGATTGATTCATTACATTTGATGTCTGCTGTTGAGCAAGATATGTTGGATACGTATGTTCATTAGTATACTGTTGTTGTGGAACATCTATGTAATTCATTTGTCCACTTGAATGATATGGATTATGATAGAATGAATTATCATTTGATTCCTCATCTGTTGTTTCATCGTCATCTGATGATGATGAGGATGATGATGAACATAATATTTCATTTTTCTTATAGTTTTGTTGCTGCTGTTGACAAAAAAATGGAGATGGTATCATTGACTGACGATAGGACAGAGAAGGGGAAGTATTGGAAAGTGCATCACGCAACCATCCGAGCATAATGAACAAGAACGAGAAGCAGCAGACACACACACACGCTGTGCTGTCGTTCTTGTTCTGGTTTTTCTTAACCAGTAATACACATGCAAATAAACCAGAGAATCTCCCTTCACGCGATTCGACGCCGTATTCTCGTCATTCTCGTCCTGTATCCTATCGTGTCTTCAAGGCAATGACAAGGAAGACAAGAAGAAGAAGAAGTGTGAGAAAGCGTATTTGCTCATTAATAAATTAGAAAAACGACATTGATTTTCTTCGTCTACCAGTCTTTTCTCTTTTTTTTCTGTATTTATTTCGACGAGTAGTGTTGCTTAAATCTTTTTCTTTTACGCTTTCTCTTTTTTCTTTTGTTTTTTCTTTTCTATTGAAAAGCAGCCGATAGAACAGGACTTGGTCTCGTTTTTCATTTGTTCGCTTAATATGCTCTTTTTGACCAAAAGCGAGATCGTGTCTTTATGTGTTTCTCGTCTTCTTCTTGTTGTTGTTGTTGTTCTTCTTCTTCTTCTTCTTCTTCTTCTTCTTCTTTTTCTTCTTCTTCTGTTGCTGCTGCTTCTTTTTCTTTTTCCAAACATAGATAAAAAAATCTAGGATAATTAAATGGCATCTTTTTCTTTTCATATTCATATTAGTCGATCGAAGTAATCAGAATCCTTAAGGTAGTAGAACTAGAAAAAGAAGATCGACTTAATAGTTATCACTAAAGGAAGAAAACATGCTTTTTCTTTCTTATGTATGAATTTATCTGCATACAAGTATATGTATTTAACGATAAATAAAAATTGTTTGCCTACATGGAATAAAAGATGAAGAAGAGAAATCTATCAACATATATTTCTACGTGACGATTATTATGATAGACATTTAATTTCAATATCAAATCATACTCAAGTGTCAATGTTAATCGTAGCACGTTCTCATAGAATAAATAAAAGAAAAAAGCAAATCCAGTCCAATATATCTTTTCATAATGCTCAATATTATTAAAATATAAATTTTAAGTATGTTTTTTTTCCTTTCTTTTTTTCTGTTCGACTGTTCCCGCGGGATTAATATTTTTCAACTCGTATATTTCTACAATTCCTTATTTTTTCATTAGTAAACATGCAATCGTTATTCTTATATTTTAAATTAAACATAACTTGATATATTCACATGATAACTGTGGAGAAAGCATCTGTTCTATTGTCAATTTATACTTTGAATTATTTCAATGATTACTATTTAATCAAAGAAAGCTTCTTAAATAAAGAAATAAATATACAAAAACACATGCAAAGTTACTGTTCAGATTAATTTCCTTTTCAAATTGTTAAAAACGCACACAGATGTCGTTCATCATTATTTTTTAGTTTAGTGCTGATTGCATGCAACAGGAGCAGTAAACATAGTTTACCTGATTTATTAGTCCTTTCTTTCTTTGACTTTTCTAATTATATATCATCAAGACAAAAAAATATTCAGAAAAAAAATAGAATATCTTTTTTATGAAACTGTTGTACTTACTTTTGATCATTAGGAAGTTGTGCTGTCATTTTTCTTGCTTGACTCACATATGATAAAGGTTCTTGTTGATTTATTGGTTTCGTTCTTTCTATTGGATTGAGATTCGATCGTCGAGATAAATCGCGAACAACTGGTTGTACAAATGCTAAGGGTTTTTTCGGTATTCCGATTGGAGATAAATCTTCATTTATTGATGATATTGCATTCGATTGGGACATTGATGTAACCGGATAATTAATATTTACTTGAGAATTTATGGAATATGAGACATCAGATGTGTAATCACTATCATCCGAAACTAAACATAAAATTAAAATATTCTCAATTCTTTGTTATGATTGAGTTTAAACAAAATTACTTACAGTGTGAATGAGAACGATTACTCAATTGTCGACATTGAGGACGATTCTAGAAAAAAGAAGAAAAATAAATGTATAGACATTAGGTATAACATGTATTTGCTACATGAAACAATTCAGTATGACTCTTTCAACATGATTAAAGACAGAAGATGTATCACTAATCATTGGAGTATTACGACTTTGAGCATATGTTTTGAAAATCAAATTTGAAGAATTTTATTTTAGAAGATAATTTTCCATTCGATAAGATTATATTGAACTAAGATATTTATTTTTTCTTCTTGAAATGAATCATTATCAAAATTGAACCAGAAGAGAACAAAATTAATAGTATTTTTGTATTGAATATGTTTTAGTGTACTTTTTCAAGATCGAATCATTAAAATAAAACAATTTTTTTTCTGTCATATTTATTTGTTCAAACTAATTATAATAATTGTTGAATCTTTTCAAACTAGACTTATCATACTAGTAGAATATGTTTTGTTAAGTATATCTTACGACTGATGCATTACAATACTACTAGAAAACTATTTAACTACTCATAGGATTCCAATAATCGAAATATTGTTCTGAATAATGTAATAAATATTGGCAATCAATCAGTGACAGTTTTATAACTCAGCAATCGCCTATCTAGCGATCTTCTTGCTTATGATCTATATCAATATTTTTTTTGCCGACTAGCTATTTTGTGCCGGCATTCCGTTGATTTGTATGGCTAAGACATTACGTGAGTGCAAGTATAAACAAACATGCAAAACAGCTCAAAAGATTCTAAGATCATTTCGAAAAAACAACAGGGAATAAAAAGAGAGTTTTAGAATAGCCATTAAGAAAATTGCTATCAATAAAAAGAAGTCTTCAAGATATTGTTAGAAACAAGTTGCTGATACATGAAATCATGATGGAGTTCTATGAGAGCGAGCTATTTTTCTTTAATATAATCCTAAAAAAATTCTGTCTCGAATATTAATCCTTTACTGTTCTTGTTGACAATTTGATAAAAGTTCTTAATACAATTGATGAATTCTTTCATGACATCAAAAAGTATTAAAAAGAAAACGGAAACTAAACCAAAAAAACGTTATGTTATTGATTATTTTTAATCCAAAAACAAAAAAGAAATCTATGAATATAAACCCTTTACCTCCATAAAAGAATATGTTGACTAGTCGTCTATCATTATATGAAAAAAAAGTGCTTAGTACTGGAAAGTCTATGCCTATTTACCTATAAATATAATTTACATCACATCATGAATTTTTATCATTGATAAAAAGTAAATAGCTTTAGAAGCAAAAAAATCTTTGTTATGTCAATATAGAAAACAAATATAGCAATCTGGAATGAATAAAATTACTTTTCAATTGACGTTATGAATACAAAACTATTCAGTACATAAGAGAAAGAAATGTCAATCGATTGAGATCTTTCTTTTTTTTTCGTTGATAAAAATAACATTCTTTTGCATTATATCACGTTGTCAAAGTTCTGTATAGTACTTAACGTAATGAGTAACAAACAATTTTATGCTCTTAACTGTAAATATCTCTAAAATTAAAAAAGAAAAAGAAATGTGTAACCAAAAACAATAAATGACTCGTTGATCATCATGGATCCTGAATTTCTTAATACATACATATGAAAATCTACTTAATTTAATCCGAAATAGATGTTTAATCATTTATAAAATCATTTGGCTTCCTACGATCTCGACGAAGAAACATAATACTAGCTATACGAAAATTCTTTTAGATGCATACCAATTTATCTAATTTACCAGGCTTATCTTTTTAGAATTATCTATATATTGTAAATTTTCTATTAGATTTCTTAGTCAACAAGTTTCATATTGTTGGGTAAAATAGCTCAATTTTTGATGAATGCAAAAACGGATATATTCAACAATACTTGAGAAGTTTCCTACGTTGATTTTTAATTGTTAATTATTAAAAGCAACTTTTAAGAACAAGAAAGAAACATCATGTTTTACACAGCAGTACTTGTATTTCATTCCTCACTGTAGCTCATATAAGTTTTAGTTTAATTTTAAAAAATTAGGCATTTTCAATTTGATACTTTCGTAAATAAATTTTTAGCTTGCACTAAAATGTTTATATCAATGTTAAAAGATGAATTCTAATCAATTAGTTTTTATTCGTTAATCTACGCCGAATTGATATTTACTTCGTCGATTAGGTTGTCAACGTTTCTAAGAAGAAAAGAAAAAAAAATCTTTAACCTACCAACTAAATAATTTTTATCAGATGTGTTTATTTTAGATCATATATGACAGTGGAATGGACTTAATTATCGTCATATCCAAAGAAAAGATTGGCAAAAAATGACTTTTCCTCTAGACGTTTATGTAAATCTTGGAAAAAAGGAAAATATCAGAAAGTATGTAGATCGAAATGTATCAGAAAAGATCTGAAATTTTGCTTACAAAGATTTATATAATAACTAAGAAACAAAAATAAAACTGAACTATCAAGAGTTACTAGGCGATATTTAAAATAGCTAATCAATTGAAAATGAATAAAAAATCGTATTGCTAAAATTTTATTTCGAAATTTTCTTTGAGTGAAATGAAAAACTATTTTGGATCGAATAACATGACAGCTGTGTCTCGATATTCGAGCCTCAAGAGGTTATGAATTTGAAAAAAATGATTACATTTAAAGACTTTAATAAAAGAAAAGCCTGGAGGTTAAATCACTGAATGCCTAAAGTTGTAATAGAATCGACTAGAATAATGTGACAAGTTTTCAGGTAGAAAAGTTACAGTGACATAGATAGAATTGAAGTTAAGGATTAAAATGAAAACTTTAATTGAAAATATTAATAAAAACAATGTGACGATGGCGAGAAAGGCTACTTGACCAGTTGAATCATGATTTCATTATCATCACCTATGTAGTTCCTCTAAGATGCAAATTAATGATTTTATTTCACGTCTATTTTTAATAAATTTTCTCCATAACATATTTCTCTTTCTTTTAATAAATAATGGATTGAGGTTCAACGACGATATATTCTCGTATTCCTTATGTTCAGTGAGAATATTTCTGATGAAAACTAAATTATTTCGTTGAATAAATCTACGTTTGGCAGGGTAAATATAAAATCAATAAATATATCTATCTTATACAACTCATGGGATAAATATAGAGTCTAGCGATAAAATCAAGTTAAAAAAAAGATTGACAAAGATTTGGTATGATCTATATGTTTCTATAATTAATTAAACAATAGTAGATATTTTTATGCCCGAAAAACAACAAATGTTTAAATAAACAAGTTCATATCACTTTCTTAAAGATTATTTTCGATCAAAATTTTATTTTCTATGAAAATAATAGATGATTTTTTTGAAGACAAATTCATAACTTGAAATCAGATATAGATGTTAAATGATGGGTTTTATTCATCAATTAATGAACTCAAAAGCCAATAAATCATTTGTTTTCCTTTGGAAATAAAATTATCACTAATACAATTTGATTTTTATTAAGAAAAAAGTCAGATTTCATTTTTTCAATTATTTAAAACAAAATTCAATTTCAAATTTATCAACACTGGAAAACGGATGAGAAAAGAAAGTAGCTTACATTCTTCATCTAATCTTGAAAGTGCTTGTAAAAAATTCTTCTCTGTCAACATTCTATTCTTTAGCTCTAATGTATTCAATTAAGAAAATGCAACCGACACATATTCATTCCGTTTCTAGATATTAAATATTAAATATATTCATTTAGCTTTTTTTCCTAAAAAGTCTAACAAAAAGAAAAGAAGAAAAAGAAAAAGAAAAAGAATTGATCGTTTTCTCACTTCTATACAGCTATCGATCTTCTTCAAATAAATATGAATATTAAATTGTCAATTGACAAGGTTTCTTTCTTTTTGTTAAAGATCATGAAAAAATAGATTACGAGAAACTTACACGTTGATCATTATGGATAGCTGAAATTGAATTTATTTCGTCAAATGTAATATCTTGTAACTGACGACCCTTTAAAGAAAATGATAAATGAACACTTTATTTTTCGAGGAAAATACAAAGAAGAAAATGAGTCTCAAGAGATGTCGATCAAGAAATTTGTTCAACTAGAACATGTGATGATCATCGAGTCACAGTGACTATCTAAAACATTATACGGCAATAGATTGTTATGCATGCATCACTATAACGCGATTACTTTTTCTTTCCCTTTTTTTCTTGACCCGCCTCTTCTTCCTGTTCTTCGTTGAGTAGAAAAGAAATAACGATGATGATTGTTAGGGATAGACTTCTTTTTTTTGTCATTATTTCTTATTCGGTCTGTTGATGTCACCAGTATTCTGTAACTGATAGTCATCGACATCGAGCTCAGTTAGCGCGCATAAAAATTAAAAACTCATCTGAAAGAAACAAGAACGATAAAACTCTCGGAAGCAAAAACCATACAAGAATAATAATAATAAAATATTCGATATATATATATATATATATTTATTTATTTACTTCTTTATCAAGTATATCGTGTAGAATTTCGAGCTTTTCAGTTATTTCTTTTGATTCTTCTTCAGTTAAATCTGATGGTAATTCGACATAAGTACGAATTAATAATGAATGACCTGTTGGATGACATGTTCGTGCTATTTGTCCTTGACGATTCAATATTAGTTCAGCATCAAGTGTCAACCATCGTTCATGAGCACTAGATAAACCTGTATTTATTAATTGATTATCATAACGATCCAAACGTAAATGAGACAATCCAAGAAGTTTATCCCATAATTGACCACGTTCCCATAATTCAATTTGAAGACCAGCTGAACAATCGGGTATATCACTTTTTAATAAAATAGAAAAGAAAGCAAAATTTTATTTAAATTATTTAGAATTAAAAAAACAAAAAACAAGTGCAATAGCAAATATTCTATTGAGATTTACAATTATAAACCATGTACTGTAATGAGGAATGTCAAATGGGACTGATACAATTAAAGTTAATCGTATTCATATCAATTCTTATATTGATTATTGTAAAAATGTTTACCATAAAAGAGCTTTATTATCAATAGAATTTACAATGTAAATTTATATAAGTATTTCGAGAGTTTTTAGATTGATATAAAACTTTTCGATATTTTCATGTTACTCTAATCGTTGTTTTTCTTCTTTCTAACATTCTAAATGATAATCAGAGGAAACATACTGTTAATTGATTTACAAAATTCTTTGAAGTGATAAAAATTAAATCATTTTTCCATGTTTGACATTAACTGTCATTTCAATAGGAGAAAAGAGATACATAGGTAATAAGTGATCATGTCATCAATATAAAAAGGATTAAAATTTGTAATGGAACTATTTCGTTTCATTATAAATTACCTAACATTAACAGAACATGACGAAAAAAATAATGAAGATTATTTTATATCATGAAGTTTTATCTATATGGATATACTAAATGTATGATAAATATCTCTCTTTAGATCTCGAATGTTTCTCTAGTCTAATCAGAAAATACATTTCATATCGATATTTCATCCATGAATTGTATGAGGAAAATTCTTGAAAAATCTACAACAATAGTTTTCAGATTATAAAGAACTAATTGAAAATTTGCTTTCAAAAGTTCTATCTCAAAGAGCATAGTATTATGAATAAAATAGAAAGTTAGTGCATTTATTGTAATGTTCTCGATGAATAGTTGTTATGAGCATTATAAAATATATGTATTTTTTAGAAATGTTATGAAAACTTTGCTTTCTTTACATGGTTGCGAATATTCTTCAAGACTTGTTACTCGTCTAGATACTACTCTTAAAAACTAATATTCAGACATTAGAGGTCTTACTTTATCTTTATTTTATGACATAGAAAATTTAAAAAATGTTTTTCTTCTATCATCGGCAAATAGACAACTAACTAGTATGAAAACAGGATGTCTTAATCGATATGATTTCATATCAATGATATAACTTCGACATGTGATATTATTGAAAAAAAGAAGTGCACACTCTATTTCTGTCTGTGCAGTATCAAAAGATTTGTTTGGCAAGCTACTTGATTAAAGTAAAACAGTAGATTCTCAAAGAAAGAAAATATTTTACTACTCAGTTTAATGTCAATTGAAAAATAAAGATTTTCTTTATATTTATTCTTTTTTTTGTAAAGCAAAATAAAATTTTCAGTATTTCCATCACGGATTGTCTTGTTGTACCTACAATATTATCGCTCGAAAATATGTAATTATACATTTCAATGAGTTCATTTTGGATATTAATTGTTAATTATTTCTTTAGATGAAATTTGGAATAGCATTAGTTTTTCTCTCAAAAAACTATTTTATTAAACTAAAAAGACTGGTCGATAAAAATTAGGTTGACTTTTTTTATCTGTTCATCAAATAAAATATTAAGAAAGTCCCAAAAATCTCGAAAAATATTTAAATCATCCATAGCCGGATTGATTATTCGATATTAATTTCTTATATTCTATTATTAATGAAAATATTTTCGTTCAATGGAGATTTCAGTTGAATCTAAAGTGCTTAATATAAATAAAGCATAAAAAAAATTACAATTATGCAGCACGTGAACATTAATTTACATCACGAAATCAAAAAGTCGTCGTATAATATGAAAACCAATATTCTACTTAAATAAGCTGATTTGATAAATCAATATTATTTTGCATTATTTATAAGTATACGAAAATTAATCTCATATGATTTGATCAAACAATATTATAAATCTTTTACTTCTGTAGTCAAACATTCGAGTGTAAAGCCCCACTTGACTGATATGAGTTAATATTAGATCTATTATATTCAAGGTTTTATTCAGACATTAAATGAAACTGCATTAACACATTCATTTCTTTTGATTTAATCACCATTGAAACGTAGATATTGTTGGAGAAATTTTAATATTAAAATATTCGTGACGTACAAATAAAGGACAGGGGCGTATAAGATACCATATCGGCTCATTCCGCTTTTTTCAACTCAACCTAGTGAAATTACATATGAATTGAAAGCTCTCGTTGAAATAAGCATTTTTATACTAAATCCGTCAAGAAAAAATTCATTTCAAAAGCGTTATGGGCACAAACAAAAGTTGACTATTTCTCTTGGAAACAATCTTGCCTTTTCGACACAAATGTATCACAAAAGAACTTTTTTCATATCTACCATTCGATAGACATTTTTAAGCACTACAAAATAGGATGATTACGAAAGTTAAAAAACATTGGCCACTTAAAGATAGCTTCGGCATACACTATTTTTAGTGCTGATTTTGTCTTTTTTTCCTACTCTCTATTGGATTAGTGCCAGAAAGACTTTAGTTGTTGTAAACAATTGTGCTATATTCGGAATCAGCATCCAAACTTGAGTGGGTTTAACTGGATGTTAAATCTTTTCAAGTAATTAAAGTTTAGTGGAAAAAATTCTCTGCACTCTCTCTCAAGGCTGGGTGAAAATATTAATTTCATTAAAACACGATTTCGACCATAGTAATGAAGTTCTAAACCTATAAAATGATATTAGAACTCGAAGTAGCACAACTTTAAAAGAAAACGAAGGGATTCTGGTGAAGTTATTGTTTTCACCCAACCTTGAGGAGGAGGAGTGCAGGGAAGTTTTTTGACTAAAATTTAATTACCCAAAATAATTTGAAATGCAGTGAAACCTACTGAAGTTTGGATGCTGATTCCGTACATAACATAATTTTTTACAACAAGTATAGTCTTTCAGGCGATAATCCAATAGAGAGTAGGAGAAAACAACAAAATCATCAGTCAAAAAAGTAAATGCCGAAGTAATTATTAAGTGGCCAATGATTTTTGACTTTCGAAACAGTCCTATTGTGTAGTAGCGCGTAAAAATGTCTATCGAATGGTATAGATGAGAAAAGTGGCTCTTCTCGGTTTTCGCCGAAAAGTTTCGTCGCAATATGGGAAAACATTTAAAGAAAAGATAGTTTCCTACAGTATTTGCCCTTTGATCATGAAGTGACCAATGTTTTTTTACTTTTCTAATCATCCTATTTTGTACAGTTTAAAAATGCCTATCGACTGGCCAGTATGAGAACAGTTCTATCGTGATATATTTTTGCCGAAAATGGGAGACTCTTTTCATGAGACACCGCCAAATAGTCAACTTTTGTTAGTGTTCATGACTTTTTTTAAATTCATTTTTTCGTGACAGACTTAGTATCAAAATGCTTGTCTCAATGACAGCTTTAATTTCATATATAATTTGACTATGTTCAGTTGAAAAAATCGAAGTGGGCCGATAGGGTATCTTACCCAGTCAGACAAGAAACGAAAAATAACGCGTAAAAACGAATAAAACTGCACATTTTTGCGATCTTATTTTCGTTAAAAATTCTACGCATTTTTACGCGTTATTTTGTTGAAATAACTGACTTGATAGAGGAAAAACAGCTATAATCCGCACAGTTACATCGCTTATGAATTATCTATATAGTTTTCAACAAAATGAGTGTACGAATTGTATCTGTTTTTCCTATATCAAGTCACTTATTTCAACAAAACAACACGTAAAAATGCGTAGAATTTTTAACGAAAATAAAATCGCAAAAATGTGCAGTTTTATTCGTTTTTACGCGTTATTTTTCGTTTCTTGTCTGACTGGGTATACGCCCCTCTCCTTTACGGATTTTTACTTATTAGATTAATCGTATTTAATTTTCAAATTATGTGCGTGAGAAGATTCATTAAACAGTAATTAATTGACTTTTCTTCTAAAACCTCGAAAATCTTATTTTTAATTGACAATTGTTCTCCTTATGATAGTATTGAATTAAATGACAATTGATAAATTTGAAAAAAACATGGAAAAATATTCGTTCGGTCACAAAACTTTGAAACTATTCTGCGTTAAATATAGAATAACTTACAAATAAAACTCTTGTTCCCAACTCGGCTGTGAACCTGTGACTACAGTTGTTGTTGATTTAACGTTATCAATTTTAAGCACAACATACGAATAACATTCATCTGATACAGAAAAAAAAATAGAAATAAGTTTGATTTTCGGTCAATAAAACAAACTGTCGGATGATTGAATTTTTGCACATTTAACTAAGACACAAAACAGAAGTGATGACGACGAAGTTGATAATGGCATGAACAGGTTTTAATCATTTACAATAACACATATAAATATATATATATATATATGAATATATGCATATTTTAAGATAATGCGAAAAATAAATTCTTTATCAACAGAATTTGATCAATAATCATGGGTCGATAATGAAAAATAATGAGGAATTCAATTCAGTTAGGTCATATCTAAATTGACATAAAAAAATGTATATTTTTTGGTTTTTTTCCTTTTCTCCTTCACCACACAATTGGGTTTCACTGAGTGAAAGGTATCACAAAATTGAAGAACAAGAAAGATTTTATGAATTTAATCCTATTTGTTGGTCTTTATCTGATGTCGGTTGTTGTTGTTGATTTATTATTTCCGGCCAATTTTACTAATATGAATAATTATCAGTCAAATAAATTTCTGAAAACTTTCATAAAAAACTGAACAATATTCGAGTATATGGAGATATTTTATTTGATTAAAAGATTTTGTGATGCGACATCTATATATAAAATATAAAATCCATTAACTCGATTGATGAATTCTAATTAATCGCTCATCATTTTTTTGAAATTTAAATCAAAAGTAATTTTATTTTTTAATGTATCATCGGGTTCTTATTGGATAATTATCTAATGTCGTCTATCTATCAGTACGTAATTACACCTGACTAAACATTATTTGTTAAAAACTGATGTTGAAATGAGTATCAGTTCGTTTTTTCATAGTTTATAAAGTGATGGGTCATTCGAAGCATAAAAAGCATCATCGTAGACATCATCGGAGTACAGATAAAAGCGATGATGATGATCGTAAAGATCGAAGTGGTGATCGTCGTCAATCTTCGCCAACTTCTTCATCTAGTAATGATTCAACAGGCACTGACGAAGAAGAATATCGTGAAAAACAAATATCAAACAAAGGTAAAACAATGGAAGAGATTGAAGAAGAACGTCAAGCTATGAAAGCTGAGAAAAAGTAAAAACAATGCATTTTTTTTCTTAAAGGTTCATTAATAATTTATATGACTTAGACGACAACGTGAACTTCGAAAAGTATATGAAACTTCACATGAAAAACGTCAACGACGTCTAGCTAAAAAATTGGAAAAAGAAAAAAAGAAGAAAACTGCTCTTGGTTGGGATGCCGAACACATGGTTTGAATTTCTTATTTTGTCTTTTTTTCCTGAAATCAATTTTTATTTGAATAGGGTATGACAAATGCAAATAACCCATATGGAGATGAAAAATTACTCGACACATTTGTTTGGGAAAAAAAATTACAGAAAAAAGGCTTATCAGATGTTCCAGCTGAGCGTCTTAAAGTCCTAACAGCGCAACGGGTTGAAGAAAATAAAGTACGATTTAATTCGATGGAGAAAAAGCAAACAAATATTTTTATATTCTGATTTCAGATTGAATTAGAAAAATTAAAAAAGCAACGATTAGAACGTGAAAGTCAAAAAGAAGTTATGGAAAAAGAAAAAGAATTTTTGCAAAGAATTAAAGAAGCCGAATACTATCGGGAATGGGAAAAACAAGAAGATTCATTTCATTATAATCAAGTTCGACTTCGTTCAAAAATTCGAATAGCTGATGGTCGAGCGAAACCAATTGATCTTCTTGCTCATTACATCAATGATGATGACGATGATTTAGCTGTGGAAATGCATGAACCATCAACTTATTTAAATGGTTTGACTATTCGCGATCTAGAAGATTTATTAGCTGATATTCGAGTTTACACAGAATTAGAACAACAACAAAAATCTGGAACTATAGCACACAATTACGATGCACAATATTGGCAAGATATTACAACTATAACAGAAGATGAATTAGCAAAATTAAAAAAATTATCTTCCCAATTATATCATGATCAAAGAATCGATGATCGACGGGAAGGTATCAATGCAGCAGTTTTCCAAGATGTTACAGAAACATTTAAAAATAAAACACCACTACAATTGGAACAATTAGAACAACGTATAAGGTATGCATCATTTTTATTTGTTCTTGTTTTGTTCGACAAATATTTTCAATTGATTTCTTCGTATATTATCTAACAGATTAGGTTACAAAATATTGTGAACTCTAAATTATACGAAAGAAAAGATCATCATGCTCATAGACATCCGTTTTATTCTTTTTTCTTTTTACTCGTGAGAATTTTTTAGGTTCGATAAATGTAATCTATATTGTGACACTGTTTTACATAATGTATTAGCTTACTATTATTATTATTATGATTTTATTGAGACATTAACAATTAACTACTCAGTTCTAGTTAGATACAAAGAGAGACTTTCAAACATATGTTCAGATTTAATTTATTTTTTATTAGTTGAGCAACTTTAAGAAAAATTTCTCAAGTATCTTTGTATACAGCAAAATACTATCTATGGTTCATTTGTTACATTTGCGCCTAGGCATATCATCAATTCGTTAGTACGAAGTTCTGTTTAGAGTCTAAAAAGAAGGACCATAATTGACATCTCTTTATTTCTATAAAATGAGTTTATAGATGATCATCAACATTCGCGAAGAAAATCCCTCCAGTCAAACCTCTTTGCATTTTTGAAGTATTGCTATGATAAAAATTGAATCTTATCCTAGAAGAAAAGTCTGAATATATTTTGTGAACAACTCTAAAATTTCATTCTAACAAAGAGGTTTCAACTCTGTTTATTAAAAATCATTTGATATGATTCCAATCCGAAAATGATTATATGTTTGACAAATAAGTATCTATCGATTTAAACAAAATAGAATAAGATTCTTATTAATTAATTCTGTTTTCGTAACTAAATCAATTGAAAAAAAATATTTTGTTTGGTAAGAAAAATAAAAGTGTTAGTTTGTCTGTCTAACAAACGTGATTTTTACGACGAGATTCACAGTTTTATGCATTTGATTTTCGAAATAATAATATACCACATTTGCAAAGTCTTAAATATTATGATGAAATATGATTCAGCATTAAGATATTTAATTTAGAAATAAAAACTAATTACACGAAGAGTCTTTCGTAATTTGAGTAGACAGTCATCATTTATTTCATAATGTTGTATAACTTTTCTATTCTATTAGAATGATATTTCGCAGAATAGAAAACAACAGTGAACTCTGTTGTAAGCAATTATTTATTGATCTACAGAAAGTCTTTAAAATAGATCGTTGATATGTTTCTAGTTGATCATACACTTAGAAAGTTTCAAATAAGCAACCTAACAAAAGAATAATAGAAACATTTTATTATCAAGTACTTTTTATTTAGATCAAAAATTGAAAATGAAAAAGGTATTGACATTGCCTATTGGGAATCATTATTGTCTCAGTTACAAGCACATATGGCTCGTGCACGTCTTCGTGATCGTCATCAATTAACATTGAAACGAAAGTTACAAAAAATAAAACAAGAACAAGGTATTTTTCATGCACCTTCAACAATATCGTCTAAAAGTTCTTCAACATCAACAATATCAAAAAAGAAAGATAATGAAAATAATCAAATAAATTCATTTAATGATAACGATATTGAATCCAATGAAGATTTAGAAAATAAATGTTTACGTGAATATGAACAAGGTCGTTATTCGCCGATATTATTCAATATAAATGAACTTGATCTCGAAGTTCAAAAACGCTGTACAGATGAAACAGATGATTGGGAAAAATTAAAACAACAACGTGAATCGGTTATTAAATCTGGTTCTGTTAAACCAGATGTTGAAGATGCCTTTGAAGCTTTTGCTAGAAGTATGGGTAGTTTAACGGCCGATGATACTATGATTAATACTGTTGTACCCATGGATGTTCAATATTTATGGTCAGATAAATATCGACCGAGAAAACCACGTGTTTTTAATAAAGTTCATACCGTATGTATACAAATATTTCTGTTATATTTTTATTAAAAATGAAATAATATCGATATTTTCAGGGTTATGATTGGAATCAATATAATAAAAAACATTATGATACAGATAATCCACCACCAAAAACTGTTCAAGGTTATAAATTCAATGTAAGTCAATTTTTATTCTTTTTATAAAATGACTTTTGATTAGAAATTTGTAAAAATTAGTTATTTTGCTGTTAGATAAATTGAATAGATTTGTTTAGAGAAATATTGCTTTTAAATTAGTCAAACTCTACTCTTTGTAGTAAAAATTTCATACAACTTATACTACAATACGAATATTGCATTAAATTTCAGGAATCTCAAACTCCGTTTGAATTTTGTTTGTACAAAGAAAGTCTTGAAACTGATTAAAAATTGCTCTGTTGAGGTTCTGTATATTGTAGAAATTTGAATCAAGCTTTCAATATTTTGTGAAAACTAAAAATTCTTTATATGATTTCTATATGAATACTGAAAATTGATGTTAATTTTCAAATCAGTAGGGTTAGATTAATCAGAAACATCAAGAAAAACTCGATGAGTGAGCGTAGTTTATTGGAATAGTTTCAAGCCGTTTGATTTACTTCTACCTTGAAATAACAAAAATTACATTTATTGTTGTATAAGAGCGATAATGAATGATATGGTTTTAGTAATAAATGAGTGTTATATTAGAACCAATGAAAGTATTTGAAATACTCATACGAAATTATTTTGATTAAGGTTGATGTCAATGCAAATTTTCAAGTCGAAGTTTGACAATTCAGTTTTTCCTTGCATTCCTAATACGAACTTGGATATTTATCTTGAACATTCATGTAAAAATGTCATATTTCCTTCAAAATATGTTATCAACTTTGATCTATTTCATTTGAAAATGCATTTAAGTGTTTTTTTTGTTTTGCTTTAACTATATTACATAAGGACTAAAGAAGTAAAACATGAATAAATATTGAAGCTAGTAAGACTTGCTGTTTTTCACATACTTCAGTTTTTTTTATAGATTTTTCTTTTTCTTTTATAACTAAATTTCTCGTGCTTTACCAGGAGAGCGATATTTTATCCGTAATTTTTTCAAATTTATCAAACTGAAAAAAAAATTTAAAAGAGCAACTTCATATCTGTAATAAGAAGTGCTTCAAAATTTTATAAATTGTTGTCTTTTTTTTTCTTTAGATTTTCTATCCTGATTTGATTGATAAAACTAAAACACCTTCATACAGTCTGGTAAGTATTTGCGTTTGAATACATTATTTTATTTATTTTACTTGTTTTATTTAGACTGTTTGTGAAGATAATAGAGATTTTTCAATTCTTAAATTTCATGCTGGACCACCATATGAAGTAAATAAAAATCAAGTAAAAAAATGTATATTCAATGTTTAATTATTTAGGATATTGCATTCAAGATCGTTAGTAAAGAATGGGATTATTCATACAAACATGGATTTCGGTGTCATTTTCAAAATGGAATATTTCAATTATGGTTTCACTTTCGTAAATGGAAATATCGTCGATAAACTCTTTGTTTTTCTCGTTTATGATTTTCTTATGTTAAATATTGTCTTGTATGATCTAAAGTTTCAATATAAAAACGGGTCTGATGAAAATTAAAAGACCAACATCCAATACTCATCGTTTTCATTTGAATTTTTACTTCTGATAACAAATATATTTTATTTTTAGATTGAATATAATTATTATCAAACCAGATCCTTTTTTTTCAGAGTATGATAATGAAAGTATATTTTGACTATTCTTCTACTCACGCTTTTCGTATATTCTGTTCGATTATTTCGTTGGATTGTCTACTAAAAGACATTATCTGATAGCTAGTGAAATATGATATGGAATTGAATAAATGAAAACAGGTAACAACTGTTGTGCTAGGTTGAGTATCTTGAATGGCAATTTGTTTTCATGCATTCCATCAAAATTTTATTTTAGTTAGTTTTTTTCATCTATTTTATTCGATTAGCTTTGAATAAAAATAATATTAGAAGATAAACTTGATCATATTTATTATTTTGTACTAATAGAATTATATTATTGCAAAAACTATTTCGATCTTTGAGGTAGTGCAGCGTTTTGCATGAATATATTTAAAATATAGATATGAATCGATCAAATGTTTTGATATTTGTCAACTCTTAAATATCTTTCGACTGATCATGCAATATTTTCAGATATTTAAAAACAAAAAATAGAATGGTCTGTGTACCGTGTATTTTCGTTGGGTTAGCTATTGTTATTTGGTGCAAATTTCTTGAACCTTATATAAGACCAATTTATGAAAGACTTTGTCAATATTATCCACCATTTAGAATAATTGGTGATCAAATGGGAACTTGGGCGGGTAAAATCGAAAGATTTGGAGAAAAATTTGGTATTCGCATGCCCGAATCATGTCCTATGCCAAAGAAAAACAAAAATCTTTCTAAAGTAACAGAAAACTTTCAGTCGTTTGAAAGACTGAAAAAAATAAAATTTCAATTGTGCTTTTAGTCTCCATCTGATGACAGCAATAAATTATATCCTGATCTAAAAACAACAACAACCACGGCTGATGATGCAGATATTCATCATCGCACAACTTCGTCTCCATTAAATAACGAATGAAAGATTGTCATCGAAGGAACAAATAAACTTGCAATTATTTTCGTCACCTTTTTTTTATCGTTTAATTCCCACTATGTTTCTTGTTGTTGCTTTCAGTCAAAACTTTAACCATTCATTCTAATAAATATTGTCTAATCAAATTATAATAAGGAAAATTTAAAAGATCTCAAAATGAGTTATCAAAAAAAGAAAACTTCAATTTCAGTTTCAGGTTTAATACCTTTTAAAGAATGATCCGTCAATATTTGATAGAAAAATTTTTCAGATAAACAAATTGATTGAAATCACAATAAATTAGTACGTTCATCATAATATACAGTCAGACAAAGATTTTGGGAAAACATGTTAGTTACAATCTCAGTCATGATTATGAGCTCTCTGAAAGTGAAAATTTTTCGAAAATAAATGTTTTTTTTTCCAAGTTGTATCTGTTTGGATAGTTTTATTTAAAGCGGAGTTTTTATTTTGTTGCGGTACTGTGATATAATCTCATATAAACAAGAATAAATGTTTAAATGATGTTAGAGCGAATTTAGATTTACATATAATGAAAAAAAGAATGCACAATAACTCGTTGATCTGAGGAGTCAAAAGGCTAAGCTCGGGAAACAAACAGATTTACTTGTACATAGAAATGTTTCAACTCATTTCTTCGGTAACAGGTAGTGGTGTAATACGTTTGAATATATTTTTATACTTCAACGCGGATCACAAGAAAGACGAGTGTGTAAGTGCCCATGGATAATCTGTTTATCGTCGTCGATGACAATTACACTAGCTGTGATGCGCCGATAAAATAACAGGAGAAAAACACAAACTTATAGCCATTAAAACATATAATAAAGGAATTCACAATAGTTCGAAGTATCAATTTGCTGAATTAAAGAAAGCAACATTTTACCCTCTTAAACTATATATGTTGGCGCCCTCTATCAACGAATTTTTGTATATCTTTAACAATAAAATAATTAATAGAAATTGATTTAAAAGATAACAAACAAGAATTATAGTTATAATATCATACTAGAAATGGTAAGACTGAAGTAGATATATATGAAGGATATTTTGCTAACTTTTTGTTGGATTTTAAAAAGTGGCAAATAAGTATAGAGGTCTTTGTCTTATCCCCTTTCCGTTCATGTGATCGTTATAGTTTTTCATTATAGTGAATTGTTGGTGTTTTAAATTAAAAAACTATCATGGAGCCTGACTTCGAACGTCGCTTAATACGATCAATGTCAGGTTGTTCATCCCTTTCTTCGTCACCATTTTCATCACCAGTATCCTCTCCATCACCGATCAAACACAGTGATCGTTTCATTCCACTTCGATCTTTATCTCAACCATCAGCATTTTTTATTGATCAAGAACAGATGCATAAAGGACCGATGGTTGATAAAAAGTCTGCTCGAGATCTTTCAATAACGGCAACCACAACAAATACAGGTACAAATTCTTCAACGAATGGAACGACCATAGCTGCTGATCGAACAAAAGATATTTTGACTTACCAAGCTTTACTACAAAATGAAATGTTTGGCACACAAATTGATAGTCTATATGATGAACAACATATGAATAGTGTTTATTCAAATAGTAACAGTAATCATCAGCATTTAACAGGAAATACAAATCAACCCGGAACTATCGATTCACCTATGAACGGAGGAGTTAATACTCAAGGAGGAAACGCAACAGTAAATGTACAATCTGTCGGAGGATTAATTCATACAACATCTATATCTGGAAATACTGTACGTAGATATATTTTCATTGAAATATTTTCATGTGTAGTCTTCAACAAAAATTTTTTATTCAGTTTTTGTGTTTGATTAATCGAAGAAACCGAGTTATCTATCCAGTTAAATAGACTCAATTTCATTATTTTCATTCAATTAATAGTTTATCTTGAGAATATGATTTCTCACTAATCTGTTTTTTCGACTAAATATCAATCAAGTGAACCTTCTATTTTTCAGTTGATCAAAATTTCATTTGTTGAACTATTGATAAGTTCTAATTGACTCGATGTGAACCATATTATCTTTAGAACTCTCTTGTATAGTTAATAAACTTGATTTATTTCAGTCATCCTGTTTCAGAATTGGAATGAAAATTGATGTAATGCACACTTATTTTTCTGAGACACCACGGATCAGTATACAGGCCACCTTAAATCAATATATCATGAGGAACAATTAAAGTCGAGAACAACGTGTTTCATCTTTCATAGGTGAAGATTGGCACGTAGAGTAGTATAAATTTTTTCGAGAATAGTTAAAATGTTTCTAGAACTACTCGGTAAATAAATATAATTTCTTTCATAGCTTATTCTTTGTGTTGAATACATTCTTTCATAGTTTCAAACGATCTTTATTTTATCAATTTTTCCATGTAACATTGCCATCTGTATCGCTACGTTTCTCTATCATATCTCTAAGAAATAAACACAAACTAATGATTCATAATCCGTTAAAATCTATTTGAAAACATTTTAGGGTATTCTTTGTCAATCGTCTCAACAACGTTTACCATATACAAATACGAATTCGAATTTATTACGAACACGTGATCCAAACACAATATTTCGTTATTCTGCTCTTCGTAATACAGATGATTTACATTATTCTCCATATTCTCTGTCTCCATTATCGCCGGCTTCTATTCGCCTTTTACGTTCACCACGTAAACAATTACGCAAAATTCCAAAAACACCATTCAAAGTTCTTGATGCACCGGAACTTCAAGACGATTTTTATTTAAATTTAGTTGATTGGTCTTCAACAAATATTTTGGCTGTTGGACTAAATGCATCTGTTTATTTATGGAATGCTAATACAAGTAATGTAACACGATTGTGTGATTTACAAACTGAATCAGATACAGTAACAAGTGTAGCTTGGAGTGATCGAGGACAATATGTAGCGGTTGGAACTCATAAAGGTAATTCGTATTTTTTCTATAATTCTTTTTCATGCAACAATAAAATACTCGTTCAGGTATTGTTCAAATTTGGGATGCAACAACAAATCGTAAAACAGTTTCATTTCCACGTCATACAGCACGTGTTGGTGCATTAGCATGGAACGATTATTGTATATATTCGGGTTCTCGTGATCGATTTATATTACAAAATGATACACGTTCAAGTAAACAAGAACGTAAATTAGCTGGACATAGACAAGAAGTATGTGGATTAAAATGGTCCCCTGATAGACAATTATTAGCAAGTGGTGGAAATGACAATCGTCTACTAGTTTGGAATCAATCCTGTATGAATCCAATACAAATTTATACTGATCATACAGCAGCTGTTAAAGCTATTGCATGGAGTCCACATCAACAAGGTCTTTTAGCTAGTGGTGGTGGAACAGCTGATCGATATATCCGATTTTGGAATACATTGACTGCACAAAGTTTACAATGTATCGATACTGGATCTCAAGTAAAAATTAATTTTCTGGAGTTTTTTGTTCTTAATGTTCTCTTTTAGGTATGTAATTTAGCTTGGTCCAAACATTCGAATGAACTTGTTTCAACGGTAAATAAACATTTAGGAATTTCATATTCTTTTTAAATGTCTGGAGTAAAATTTTAGCATGGTTATTCACAAAATCAAATCGTTGTTTGGAAATATCCATCTATGTTACAATTAGCACGTCTAACGGGCCATACATTTCGTGTACTATATTTAGCTGTATCACCTGATGGTGAATCAATTGTAACAGGTGCCGGCGATGAAACTCTTCGATTTTGGAATGTATTTACAAAATGTCGTGCCAATAAAGAATCTGACAGTGTACTTAATTTATTTAATAAAATTCGATAATGATCAGTTTCTTTTTAGTTTTTTTTTCTTCATAAAGATGTGTGTGTGTATTTGTCAGTACTATCAGTCTCACAACAGTCGTATCTTTTCACTATTTATTAATTGTTCTCTGTTGTCTTTTTTTCTCTTCATTTTATTTGTTTTTTTTTTGAAAATTTTCTCATTTCTTTTTCGTTTTCTTCATCATCGTTTTTTTTATGTATAATACTATGGTTTATGAAGACAATGTGAGTGTTCCTTTTTGTTTCAATTCTAATATTCACTTCTGTGCATATTTGTGTGTGTAAAGGAAGGTAAAGTAAAATAAGAACGACTCAAAACTGTTATAATATATATTTGTTTCATTTTTATTCAATATTTCAATTGGATGATTTTTGATTAGGCTTTATTATTATTAAAAAGTGAATATAGAAATAAACTGAAGATTGATTTGTGAAAAAAAAGTTGTTGTCAAGAATCAGATCAATAGAGAAAATAATTCATCTTATAAGACAAATGTGGGTTTCAATTCTAAGTGACATTATGTTTTGAGAGAATAGGTAGCTCAAGAGAAGATCCTCACTCTCATACCATGTACAACTTGACACCCTCAGGCTATTTTAAGAACATTTTGTTGTCTATACTAGTGTTTTTTTCTCAGGTAACAAAAAATAAATGAAAGTCAAAGTCATTTGCGTGCTAGATAGAAATGAAGCTGTTGAATGTAAAGTAATGAACACGTTTTTCAGTTTAAAGTTCGACTTTGTAAAACAAGACTTAAGAAACTTCAATGAGCCTCCGCAAATCGATAGAAAATTATCGTCTTATATTCATGTGATTGATATTTAATGTTCAGCGCACTAATATGCGTTGCCAAGTTGTTCAGTCCAATGACTGCGCATAATAAGAGATTCCAACATAAAAGAAATTAGATAATCAAGATTATATGCTGATACAAAACATTGTTCTCAAAATTCCTTGATTTTTGCAATTACAATGACCAGGCTAATGTATTTGTCGAAATGCTTGCAAATATGCGAAGATGTTTCATTTCATCATTTTTTTTCTATTAAATTTTTTCTCGTAGACAAAAGTACCAGGATTTTAATTGTTCTACTACACTGAAGTACTTGGAAAGTAAGTCATGTTACAATACTCTCGTCATACTGATTGCTCGAACAATTCAATACTCGAACTGAATATTAGAATATTGCTTTCGACAGTATTATATGCAACTAATGCACATTGTAGGTCTTGTTTAAAAATTGCGGTGGTGCTACTTTCAAATAGTTTCATCGTTTTGAATGAGTAGAAATAGAAATACGTTTGGTTCGCTTATCATTGTAAACCTTTTATTGTTTTTCTGTTTTTTGCGGAATCAATATGAAAATAATATTTTATCGTTTTTTCTTAGTGACGCATTTCCAGTAAATAAGTGCTTTCTAACTCTACAGTAAGTTAATGAACAAAATAGATAAGTATGGGTACATTTCTAGATGTAAATATAAATATAGTGTAGACAGACGATCGAGGGTCTATCTATCATTTAAATTTGTTGTATTCCCTCGATTTCGCCTTTGTTAGTGACGATTACATTTCAATATGATAGTGATATCTATTATATATTTATACATAATACATATGCAATCACTGGAAAAACAATGACCACTGCGAAGAAAGTAAAAGAAAGAAATAAACGCCGGGCATGAACGACAGATAAACGCTTGGAATGTATCCCTTGATTTTCTTTTGTTTTTCTCTTTGCTCGATACAATATAAATACCCTAGTGAAACATCTTGTAAGTAAGATCTTGGCCAAGATCTTGGGTACAGATAAGTGAACAGATCTTGAAAATTTAGGTACAAGATAATACAGTTATCTTGTACCCAAGATCTTATTACAGATCTTAAGTAAGAATTCATAACATCTTGAATGATGCATTCTGAAAGTATGTTTGGTATTTTTTCAATATATTTTAATATTAACTATTCCTGTCCCGAATAGCTCAAGCAAATCAGATGTTGAGATCTGACCGGCTTTAAGTTGGTCCGATATTCGCCAGACCAATCTAGGGTAGTCCTCTCTCGGCCATCGACCGAGATCAGCATCCTCTCGATTAATCAATAGTCGAGAAATAGTTTAGAAAAATACTTATTTTGTAAAGTTATGTTTTTGCATGTTCAATCATGTTGCTTATATTCTGTTCTGTATGCATAAAAAAAACGGTGAATGACTAGATAGCCTATCTAAATAAGCTAATGATGTCGCTTTCTGTTTTACTCAAGATCTTGTGAGAAGATAATAGTAAAAGAAATCGTTGCCATGATCTTGCTAAGATCTTAGGTACAGATTCATCAGATAGGACAAGATCTGAACAAGCGAATTATATTTTAAAGATCTTGATAAGATCTTACCTGCCAATCCCAAGATTTCAGGATCTTACTTACAAGATGTTTCACTAGGGCAAGCTCTTATTTTTCACCTCAGAAAATAAGTTTTTATTAGTAATCGGTCTTCCTATAGCTAATTTTTGAACAACAGCTTTAACTGACAAAATCTATGAATGGATTACACAAAAACAAATAGTCAACCTATGGAAATTTTTTGGAAAATTCATAGAGTCGCCAAATACGGTCAAAAAAGCATTTAACCGGTTCAATTACATTTCGCACATTTACATACAAAGTAGAGTTTCCAATCAAACACATTTTAAGTATAATAGCTTTTGTTACAGTGAAGCAGTTTTAACTTTGACTAAAATTAATGCTGGCAATTGCTACTCCTTCTTGCCATTGAACTATCAACTATTTACTTGTGTTAACCGCAATGCTAGTATTGAACAAGTTCAGCTGGTCACCAATATATCTTATAGTTTTTGCATTCAAAATGCACTTGACTTGATTCTCATGCTTTCGCTTTCAACGCATCCAAGTTGTCCGATATTATTCAAATTATACTTAGGCAATAAATTATTTAAAAACTCTTCATCGATTACTATTCTTATTGTAAAGTAAAAATACGCCTAATAGTACCATTTTAAGACGTGTCCGATCATCAAAAAGGGATCCAATTTCTAGATCTAATGTATACAAGTCGCATAGAAAGTATTAGAGAATCTAGTTTATAGATTACAATTAGCAGTGTGTCTGTGTGCCGAAAGTGGGAGTGTGGGTGTGGATGTAGAGCGATCTGCGCGTGAAACAAGTAGAACAGTGGCAACCGAGTCCACATTATTCAATCGAGTGTATATTTATTCTGATTACTGTACTGACAAGGACATCAAAAGATGTCCAAATATTTTCATGAAATTGAGTAAAATCTACTCACCAACAGACAATGTTGGACGTATAGGCAATATATCTGAAAGAATCAGAAATGAGATATAGATAAATTGAAGATGGTACTCTGTATAGTTATGTCTGCTTTTCTAGCGCTTTCTAACGTCTAAAATTATTTCTACTGCTGACACGAAATACGTGAAACCTGAAACATGCTAATTATGCCGCTGAAATGAAGATTATAGAAAGAGAAAAGTCAAAGTTTGCGTACTTCAAAGTAAGAGCGAAGCACTATACTGCATTCTTAAATGTAAATGCTACAGACCCGTTTTAATTACTTGGTATTATTTGATACTAGAGTCAAAAATAATTACCGCTCCGATAACTATGAATATGAGATAGTATTTTTTGATTGAGAGAATTCAGCAGTAAACAATGGACAAGTTGACTTCTCTCGCAGTTTTGTTGTTTTGAAACATAATATTCAGTTAGCCATACACAATATAACGATTTTGAATGACAGTATACTTCTGTTTGTGTAAACGAATAGTTAAAATATAGCATACACACCTTTGAAAGAATATCTGAAAAGGTGTATCTTGAAGTGATTTTCATCTAGATGGATAAATTAATTTGTTATCGATTACAGCGAAACAAGAAATTATGAGATTAAAAATGATAAAAAATATTCTAGTAAATTGTGATTGAGAATTTCATTTCCTTAGTTCAAAATACTCACTGCTTTCTTGTACTTCTTTGATGTAGATGATTCGATTCCAATCAATTTTATTGTTATCAACAATTATGGATTTGCTGATATCTCCTTGAATGAGTGTTTGAAGTGCTCCTTGAATTTCGTTAAGCTTTGACACAAGTAGATCAATATCATTTTCAAGAAAATTATCTTCTTCTCGTCGTTGACGAATTTCAGTTGTAATTCGTTCAAATTGTTCTTTTATTTTTATTCTTTGCCTATTAATTGATGTAGTAAGGTCCTCGCTAGCTTTTCTTGCTGCTTTTTCGACTCTTTCGATCGTTGAGTTTTTCCATTGGTCAATTTGAATGAAGAGATCCGATGACAAAACAGTTGAGTTTTCTAGTTTTTGAATTTTTTCAAGTAGTTGATCATGTGACAGCACGATTTCATCATCGAATCTTTTTGTCAACTGCTGTTCATGTTCTCTGTAATCTCTTCGACAAAAATATTTTTTACATCCAAAACAGTAGTTTGTACCCGATAGTTTATTGCAGAATGAACAAAGATTTGTTTCACTTGGCGTTGCCATTGGTTTTTTCAAAAAAAATTTGTCCTGTTCTTTAATTTATAATTACGTGGAATATCTTATATAAGCTAGATCTAAAGTGGTTTAATATAGAAAAAGATAACGTGTATGAGGGAAATTGTGTTTCTATTTGTTACTTGTATTTTCACTGTAAACAATCAAGACGCATGAAGTGTATAAATAAGACGATTCGTTCGTATAAACAAGATGCTTAGCGTCATTTCTGATTGGTTAGTCAAAGTCTCATTTAGACACTTGAAGTGTCCGTGGATAAGGCCCCAGACACATAAAAAAAATGCGATAGAATTAATTCTGTTTTAATTCAACAGCCATCCACACCAACAAATTAATCCACCAGTGAAAATGTGAAAAAAGCCTCTTTCATGGGTGTAAAGTGCATAGTAAAAATTATGAATACATCACGTATATGTATGTGTTGAATGAACGTATCAATTCAATAACTAGGCTCATGTGTAAGACAGAAACCTATTTTTTCTGGATTGAATATAGGGGGTCTATAATTTTGGTACACCCTGTAGCTTGGTCATAAACAACAGAGACGTGGCTCGTCGATACAAATATCCGCCGAAGGACTGTTTCGTTGTAATTATAACCACAAGCATCATCGAAATAAGCACCATTTTTAATTAGAGCAACACGAACGTTGAGATGTTCCTTTGAATCATTGCAGAAAAATTCATTTTTTTGACATGCACCATTCGGACATTGTTGAGGGTGTAGATCGGTTCATCAGGGCGACATCCACACCATCTAGATTTCTTGTCCAATTAAATGTCAGCATTGTTTTCTTTTAAAAGTATGTGAAAGAACAGAAAATTATACAATATTGCATGAAAAAATAATTAGTTAATGTTCACAGACAATTAGCTGGTATACCATCTTCACTGGCCTTGATAGCTGAATGCAAATAACTAATTTGCTCATCAACGAACTGCTTGAAAAAAGTTTTACACGATAATACCATTTCACTACTGTTTTTCATTTAAGCTTAATAGTATATGGAAAACTATTGCAGTTCAATATCTTACTCATCCGCTCGGTTGAAACAAAATGCAACCATGTATTAATGCGTTCATTAGTAATGATTAAGATACACCAAAATTAGTAAGAGTGACACCTTAATACCATATAATAAGTTTTCTTATTGTATGTACCGGTTGTATTGATACTCGTTTAAGAAAATACGAATGAACATTTTAGTTTTCAAAACTTTTCAATGAACATTTTTAGAATCAAACCTATCTGGCACGGTTTTTATAGTAAATTTTCAATAATCCAGCAGAATTTTAAACTTTTAAGAAAAAAATCTTCATAGTGGGAAATATTAAGATGAACAACATGTATTCTAGTCGATCCTCAAATACAATTTTTTAGAAAAATCTGCAAAAAAAGTTCACTTTTATCCTTTTTCCAACGGGGAGAGAAGAAGCTTATTGCCGGCAAAGCAATCAGGGATTTATTTCCTACTATAGGACGATTGTCATTGTGCTACATAATGAAAACTAAATGCTGTATCAGATGCACCCAGAGCCCATCGTCTGATACTCAAAAAACCGAAAGCAATCAATGACAATCTTCGCTATCAGAAAATCAGCTTCTCTTCACAGATACTAATACGGATCTAAAACACGATTATCATCTTGCTTCGTGATGGCAACAAAAAGTGTACCGAGAAACAAACTGATGATGAAAATACAGATAGCAATTAAAGACAATCAAATAAAATAGCTTTCCCCCCTTGCCTTTTTTTTCGACGAAAAAACGATTTTCATCACAATTAGAAAATTCAATGAAAATACTTCCGAAATCAAAATTAAAAAAAATCTATCATCCATACTTTGGTGTATCTTTATCTCCTCTTTCCAACGATAATGCAAATAAAACACACCGTATTGACATATTATTATGATGACGATAGTTTAAGTATGATCAAATAGCACAAAACATGGACTATTCTTTTCTGTCAGGCTATGGAAAATGAAAGCTTCTTAAAACTTGCCATATATTACTTTCAAACAGAAACTTATAATTGAATTGTGATGCTTACAACTCTACAAAACGGGCGGTGTCGGATCGATCCACAAGATAGTCCTATTTCAAAATCATTTCGTCACTGTCGCTGGGAATTTATGTTGTCTGCTTTAATGCAATACACGTCTTGATACATATGGACGATTTTCATGGACACTTCATCGCATATTCAATGAAATAGGTCAATAGCCTTCCGATACCACGTTTCTCCTTCACATAACAACATAAAGTACCTGTGATCACTACTTCAGTCCAATCGGAAAGTGCCATTATTTTCCGGTTTGATTTAATTTAGCGAAAGCTACAAAATTGTAAAAAAATCTGTACCAGAGAGACAAGCATGATGCGTATATTTAAAATCAAATTATTAATGCTAGTGTTCTTTGTTTAAAAATTTAATGCAACACGTCTAATACAGACGATTCGAGAGTTTATTGGCGATGCTTTTGCTCATGGTTTTTTTACGATTATTCTATGGCAAAACGGCTTTGATACTTTGTCGACCGAGTTGATAGTCCACTGCTAGTTGCGCCTAAGTGATAATATGATTGGACATCGAAAACGAAACAAATCTTGTTGTTCTTACATGAAGTTGTGTTGAATCAAAGAGAAGAACATGAGGTATGTCATTTTGCTTGATAAGCACTGGTATTTCTATGAGAGTATGTAAGATAAACTCACGGTAAATAGGAATCAATCGCATTAAAATTCTCACCAGTACAACCGAGAACAATACCCTCGATATTCTGTTCATCGTTCAAACGTTGAATTACTTTTAAAAAAGTTTTTTTCGATTCTTCAGTGACTATATTGAATGATAATTCATTCATAATAATATCATTCAATCGCACCATCTCTTCTTCGTCTGGAAAAATCACCTCCAGTCCGTGCTCAATCAAACGTTGAACAACTTGACTATCGAATTTCATCGCAAAACATGTACCCAAAAATCCAATCTAAAGACACTGCTAAACTCGCTATTGTTATTATTTCGAAATCTACTTTGTGAATTTTTTTCTGTTTTATACTAAAGGCAACAGTATCACCGATGTGCAGAACAACCAAATCTGGATAACATTCAGTAATCCTTGGTACAGCAATATGAGCTAATCAGATAATAAATCTACTATTGATAAAAGAAATCAAGCAACTGTACATGTGTTTGAGCCAAGGATCAGAAAATCGATACCACTATTGACTAGCTGATGAACACCTTCCATAAGATAGTCAATAGCTTTGGACCATTCATTTTGTTCGAGTAGTTTGACATAATAGAAAACATTCAGAGACACAATGTGAATGCAACTGCCATGACCTGGCAATGCTTCGTTCACCATGCGGTTGATATAATTATAATACTTCAATCAAAAGCACATGTGAATAAGAGTTACTTAGTTCAAAACTTACATCAATTGTTGAAACATAAGTCAACCCACCGAGTAGGCCACATATGCGTTGTTCTCTTATATTGCTTTCCATTTAGTGATGATAAGAGTGAAACTACTGTAACTAAATGAATGCAAGACGAATTAATGCTGTTATCAGTTCTTATCATTACTAGGCGCAAAAAGACAGAACAGAACTCGTAGATAACATTCGCGGTTCAACTGCGAAAGTATGACATACATGATTTGTATGCATTCGATCCTCTTCTTGAGGATGTGTGCATCGTGATATGGAGTCCATATTTAACAAAGCGTCAACACCATCGAGCCGCTTCGCTCGTCAGTCATTATTTCAGTGAAAGTTTCAATCACAAAAAATAGGGATTCTTCATAGAAGTTTCATGATAAAATTGGTTCAAGATCAAACAAACTCAGTTGACAATACCGACATGGGCGTACTGAATCATGTATCAATCAGTAGTAGTATTCAATTTTGAAGAGAAGAATTATCTTTTTGTTCTGAACTACACATTTTTCTCAAAACGATGACAATCGACTTGTTGGTTTCATCAATGACTGTCAGTCTAATTAAGCTGGCGTGAGCAATGTATTGCAAAATGCACAGTAATAACGCCAGAAAGAAAAAGCAGGCACAATCAACACGTTTAATGATGACGACTAACTGAAAAGGAAAATTAAGGGGAAAGAAAAAACCTCTACGTTGCAAGTTTTGATAATAATTATTTCTCCTTTATTAACAATACTCGAGTGCTTGAAACGATTCATCTTCCGTGAGCGTACCCATGACTTCTTATTTGAGGTCCGAAGTGCTCGAGTTATCTTACCTGTCGCCGAATGGAAGATAATCATTGAGATCTTATGTCCACACGGATGCTTCAGCATTGTACCTATGATGAAGTTGAAGTGGCTAAGTTTCTCAGGACGACTAATTTTTTCCGATTCGATGCGTTCGCGTATCGGACTTCCAATAAGTAAAAAGCTGTGTAATATCTGTTATTCTTGTTTTGTTAAGAAGGTTGATATATTAGACATGATTTAATTCTCTTCTTTTATTTTATTTTAATTTATTTTAAATTTAAATCAATTTAATTTGACTTGATTTGATCTTATAGTTTATTAATTTAAATTTAAATTTAAAATTTACAAATTGTGACGTTTCGTATCTCGATAAGATACTTCATCAGACATAAAAATTTAGACAAATGACATATGTACAAATAAACAAATTTTCTTTTCTTTCAGTATTAGTCATACTGTTGATAGTGATACGGAAAACAAGACGGTAATAGTAATAGCTAGCTAAGGATTGAATCCTTTTCCGTATCACTATCAACAGTATGACTAATACTGAAAGAAAAGAAAATTTGTTTATTTGTACATATGTCATTTGTCTAAATTTTTATGTCTGATGAAGTATCTTATCGAGATACGAAACGTCACAATTTGTAAATTTTAAATTTAAATTTAAATTAATAAACTATAAGATCAAATCAAGTCAAATTAAATTGATTTAAATTTAAAATAAATTAAAATAAAATAAAAGAAGAGAATTAAATCATGTCTAA